TTACCTTTTTTCACTTTTACATATATATTACCATTCGATTGATGACGACGAATGTTCTAGAGTTCAGCTCTATGCGAGTCATACAACACAACTTAATTACCGGAGCGATCCTATTTCAAATGCTCGGCTTTCCCGACTTCGCCGACCACATCTTTCTAGCGTGTAGGGCACATCCGGAACGTCTAACCTTAGTATGAAGTTCGATTCGACACATCGTAAATCTAACGAACGAACGGAACGGGCGCGGGTGAGATGGCACAGAGCCCTGCTGCCTCCCGAGAACGATAAGGCGCTGTCGTAAGACGACGCCTTCGGGAATGTGCTTATTTGCTCGTTTGGCTAGGGAATTGAGTCTCCGCATCATCGACGGACCATCTGTAAACCCAATGAAGATCTCCATCTATCAATGCCGAGCGTCCAAAAGGGATCTATCTTACTATTAAACTACTAAACTACATACCAACTAATTTCTTATTAGACATTAGGTACTTGACCCTCTAAATGTAACAGTTTCTTAGCTCTAACCATGACGTCAAAGATTCTAAATTACTTGTATAGTAGTTAATAATATTGCGCTTCTCCCTTTCTTTAAGCGTATTGTCTTACACCCGGATAGTAGGATTGTATACCTACCCGAACTGACTGCATAATACTTCAAACTATCGAGAAACTACAGCAATGTTTCTGAATCTATCATATCCATAGGTACGCATGATAAACCAATTTCTTTCGCAATTGACCGTGACTCAACGTAACGTCCCTTCTATATCAATATATTAAGGCCGTGCAACACCTTGGGTCTAATATACTCATGCAAGTCATCCCCTAACAAAGCCGGAGAGAGGCCGAAGGATCGAGCACGAACCTGTGTTCGCATCTATTAATTATGCATCAGTCTCTGCCAGGTTCTCGGGAATAGGGGAGTCATGTTAGGGAGTAGGTCGATCCCCATAAGATGATGGAACTATAATATTACATGCAGGTAATATAAGGCTGAGGGTGTAGGGAGTGCTATTGTCAGCGCATTCGCATACCTAGTCCTAGGTCAGCCTCGGTCGAAGCGTGGGATGCATTTAAATACTCTCCTATTTTATGAGAAGAGCAAAGGTTTAGGATAGGATTGGCTGTGATTTAGTGGCAATATATACGGGCATTCGTGACTAATATAATTACGGCATCACCACCAATTACTTCAACTGAAATATAATACTTTGTGATATGGAATCTAAGAATACCTATCAAGAACTCGCCCTCTGTCAGCAAAGTTGCCATTCGAATAATAAGACATCTTCACCGGAGACATCATTGCCGTTTAGCCGTGGAAAGTATTATGACTACAGTGTAGACATTGTCAATAAGCAGGCCACCAATCAATTCCAGGAAATAACCGTAGTACTGTCGCCAGCTTCATTGAGGTTCATCATATTTGTAGCTCACTTGCCACAAACTCGGTTAAACAGAACCAGCGTAGAGGCCGAGTTCCACGAAGCGGCAACCCAAGCTTGTACACCGCGCCTGAATCGCCGACGATAACGCATCGCTTGATCACCAAGTGAGGCAACAAGCTCACGTTTTACAGATGGCGACGAGCTGAACAACTGGTGTATAATGACGGGACGGCGAAATGCGACGAGGCTTGTTGCTCGCTTGTCGTAGCAGAATCAATGATAGTGACTGTTTCGGCGGATGCATAATCAAGTTTTCTGTTGTATGATGATAGGTAAAACTCGTCCATTCATGACGATATCGCCATTACCGTGCCACCATCCCCATGTTGCCGTTTACTCCGCTGCTGAAAAACAAACCTGACTCCATTCGTCCTCTACGATACACATAAGGGTGCGTCCGATGCGCTAGTTACCGATAACCATCGAGCACTATTCATTATTAGTGAGCCGCGTTGGATTCCAGTAGCAAGGGGGGTGCTTAGGTAGGTAGCTTACCGCCATGAATACACAGCATAGACTCATATATGGACTTAGCCTCTCCCCTATTCTCGCAGCCTTCCAGAAGATACCCATGAAACTGTAATACAAAAGCTCAGCCTCGTTCGCAACGTGATAATACGCGCAGACTCAAATAGCAATAAACCTACCCCTGCTTATTCCTGTCGAGAATCGTGGGGAATATTTGGTGTACGTAGGCGCATGTGCAGATAAGGAGGAGGATGACGAGGAGGAGAGACTGGAAATTGAAGAGCGCGGACTAAATTCGACAATTAGCATTAGCATTGGCACTGGCATTGGCATTATATTACGTCAATACGTGTAAATAAAATATAAACTGACCATATTCGCAACGTTGAACTGTCGGCTCGCTATAAGGTTATACGCGTCGTCTCTTGTTCTTCGAATGCCCGATTATTTTGCTATTTCCTCATGCGGCGACTCGCGGTTTCAGCCTTTCTAGAAGCCAGCTGTCGACAGGGTTGGAAAGCTTACCTAAGCTGCTATGTAAGGAGAAGCTTATCCGGCGATAATCCGTAGCGTGAAGCATGGATGACAGGGATCTCTGACTGGGGGAATCCATCAGCTAGATGGTACGTACCATGGAATGTTTAAATTTCCAGATTTCAGCTCCAAGTTACACGGAGTCACGGACAGTCAGGGATGTGGGTGTGTGTACCTAACAATTTATCTTATCAGACCCCACTACCAAACATCGAGGTACAACTTCAGTCTTCCTCAGCCTTACCTAATGCTCCCTCTACATACACTAGGTATCTTACACCAGGTATCTTATCTCCGTCAAACATAAACTTCGACATCCGATATCACCATCGTTTCTTACGCGCGTCTATGATTAATGACTAGCCCAAATCCGTAAAGCTAGAAACCCTTCGCCCAAGGAAATATCAGCATCGCCACTTTATACTTTATATTTACAACAGCGCCATCCGCGTTCATCATGGAGCCTCGCGCCCGTGCTGGTAAGAATGTGGGCAAGGAGACTTTCAATGCGAAAGAAAGTACGTATATTGCATCTTCTCTATCACCCAATTGCCGATACACCTATCCCCCAGTCAACCCAAATAAATTGACCGAACCCCTCCAGTCCGTGCCCTCCTCTACGCCTTCGGCGACGTCCAGGACCCGTTGCCGGACACAGTACGCGTGCTAGACGAGATCGTGACCGAGTTCCTAGAGGGCGTCTGCTTCGAGGCGAGTCGCCACGCGCAGGTAGCCGGGCGCCAGAAGCTCAAGTTCGACGACTTCGAGTTCGCGCTGCGCCGCAACCCCCAGTACCTCGGGCGCGTCAAGAGTATGATCGAGAAGCGTCAGAAGATCAAGGAGATGCGCCGAACTTTCGATCAAGAGGATGACGCGCTTGCGAAGGAGCACGGTAAGGAGAGTGCTGCCGCTGCTGCTGCCAATGCCGCGGCTGGTGGGGAGGACGACCTGCTCGGTCTTGATGACGAGGATGAGGATCTCGAGCTTATGAACACGGCGGCGGCATCGTCGGCGAAGGGTACGGGGAGCAAGAAGAGGAAGAGAACGCCCAAAACAGGATAGCGTCGTAAAATGTGGGTATAGAGATTGGTTTGGGTATGGGGCGGTGTCTCATTATGGATGACGACTATGATGAATTTTGCATCTTTATAGGCATAGCGACGGCGTTGGGGGCAGCGAAATACCAAATTGCATTTTAGAGTCACGAGAGTCTGGGTCGGGTTCTTTTGCTCGAGACTAATACATGCGTGCTTGACTACCAATTTACATTATTTTTATCCAGTCGTTCCGTATGAAGCATCATAAGAATTGCTTATACTAATGCTTGAAACTGGAAATGCATGTTTACTCCGCATATTCAGTCAAGATTTATATTACTAACTTAGCGGTGACCTAGGGGCTAGTACAAAGTCCCGAGTAGCCACTTCAATCAAGACGAAGGATCGTGAACCATGGCGTCTACCGGTCCAGACGCGACAACCGAACCACATCCAGAAGGTAAAAGCTTCGCATACTTCCGAACTATGGGGAATGTGCGTGGTTATCCGGTTTATAAAGCAGGGACCTTTTGCCATTAGCGCTTCTAATCCGGAGCCAAGATATTAGACGGGAGGATTTCTGAGGTTTTATCGCAGTTCACGATCGAACGATCGAATTACTCATGGCTTACTTATATTGCAACGAAGAAACTTGGCTCTAATAATAGCTCTTTGGCATGTATGTAGGTATTGTTGCAGCCTAGGCAGCCGACGAGAGCCTCTTGTCTGGAGTATAAATAGGCCGTTAACTGCGGCCACAGTTCCTCTTAACCTTTCGGCTTCACCTCACACTCCTACGACTTCAGATACGAGCATCAGCAACAAAGAAGCAAGTCTTATACCACTCAAGACCAAATAACTACCAAACCCACCCCCTAGCGGAAAAACATCCTTGCCTACCTACCAACAAAATGCGTCCCACCCTCACCCTCCTTCTCCCCGGCCTAGCAGCCCTCACCACCGCATCCCGCGCCGCCGACCCCTCCGTCGTCTTCTACGCAGAAATCTTCAGCGCGGCGGCCGACTGCAGCGGGACCACCGGCATTTCGGCATTTCTCTACAGCCGCGGCGCGTGCCAGAACACGGCTACGCCGGGCACCGGGTCCGCGCGCGTGCGGTACAACGAGCGGCCCGAGACGCTTTCCCTGACGGGCTGGACCGGAGCCGATTGTACTGGGGACTCGATGGTGGTGGGCCCGACGGTGGGCGTGTGTGTGGCGCTTAATGGGACGGCGGTTGCGAGTTGGTCTTATTAGGTAGAGCTTCGGTGGTGGTGGGGTTGGGAAATGGATATAGGGTTGGTGGATGTTGTATCTACACGCATATTTTGGCGGGCATCTCGATGGAATCTTTGTCGTGAACTTATACGGCTGGATAAGGCTTCGTGTATAGCAAAACCAAACTACTAGCGTTGATCGAGGAACGGCCGACGACTTCGAGTAGCTATTGAATGGCGGATACAATAGAATGGGGTTTACTTCACTGCCAACTTGTTTAAATTCTAATATGATACCTTATGTGTAGCTGGTTATAGGAACGAAGAGGAACGAAGAAAAGCGAAGGAAAGCCCTTGTAGTGAGAGGCTCACTACCTACGTCTTCGTCCTTGTACCTTGAGATAGTAAGGGCAACTGATAATAAAGCCACTTTTTACCTATGCCTATAGAGATAGCAATGGTAGTGATTCCCGGCACCTCTGAAGCAAATCTTACGTCAGGAATATATCAGGAATATCGAGTGTCAACTCTCATCACTATATCTACCTATGCTTATTGTAATGGTATATTACTAAGATAATTAGAACTTCGTATTTGACAGTACCCTGGCAGCTGAGTTTCCATTTTCAAGTTTATATATCAAACTCTAGTACAGCCTCAAAGTAAATCTTAGATCTAAGCACGCCTAGGTTTAGAGATCAAGTAGCATGGTACTAATAGTGTCCATGTTTAATAGGTAGGCTTTCTTATATCCGGCACTCTATCAATATGGCACACTTGCCGATTCCGGGTAGTAATCAGGTACTAAGTGCTACGCTCAGTCGTATCGGGAGTTGAAAGTATTACAACCCTACTTCGCGATTTACCAACCTAACTTACACATGTAGACAGACCCCAAAAAGGTTCTCGTTACGACCCTCAACCCCGGATCATGCGCCTGGTAGTCCGGCTAGTCCGGCTTTGCTACCCACGCGGGGTAACTACCGATTCGCTGGATGGACCGCGGCATCGGGGTCGACAGGACGATCACGCCAGTAGCTTTACATTATCTTGCTCCAGTGACAGATGACATTTTCAGGTGTTCCGACAGCCACAGAGCTGGTTTCATGGTTCCTACCTAGAGGTAGTTAGGTGAGGGATAATAATTTGTAGATACCTACAACCCACACTAACTAGCACTTACACAAGTTTAAAGTATAAAGCATTATTACTCGCTTGTTAGTGGAGCATACTTCTCCCGCCTGTAACGACACCCGTTCAAGTATATGGATGCTCAGACCCCACAACAAACTTTCGGCGGATGCGGTTACTTCGGTTCGTAGTGGTTGCATCATGGGATGGGTATGTTCTAACGAAGAAGCACGTTATGGTTGCTAATAATTCGTCTTCCCCCGCTTATGACAGGTCGATCTTCAGCCCAAATAAGTTACCAGAATATTTCCTATCTTAAACAGTCTCTTTAGCATTACTTGTTGGGAAGTAACTGAGACAGAATACTCGCCGTAAAACCATTCCAAACCTCGTTTATAGCCATCCTTAAGTCTGTGTGGATGAGGACAGAACCGGCGCCCTCAGGATTAGTTGGAGCACTTCGGAGATATTGATGATCATGTCGCCCTCTATATTAATTCCCGAAACCAAACAACTCGACAATAGTGAAGAAACTTACCTCTCTTATCTCCCTGTCTTGGTTGACAAACCTGAGAAACACAGCGAATTCGAATCGGACTTATCAACTGTCGTAGACATTGAGTCGGATCGGTTTTCTTCGGATGGACGAGGCGTGTCACCGGGACCTCCCTTAAAACCTGGCAAGACTCATCCAAGCCTGGGAGTCCGAGGGTGGTTTGGATCAACATGGCGTAAAAATAAAGCACCAATTTTGGTATTCGCAGCACAGTTCTTCGGGTCGCTGATGAATCTTATCGCCCGCCTACTCGAAGTAGAAGGAGGCATGCATCCTATGCAAATTCTCTTTGCAAGAATGAGCATGACAGTTATAGGGGCCACCGCATACATATGGTGGAAGAGAATCCCGCACGGCATACTAGGGCACAAGGATGTCCGGTGGCTCCTAGTATTGAGAGGATTCTCTGGTTTCTTTGGTATATACGGTATGTGGTACTCAGTCAAGTATATACCGCTCGCTGAAGCAACCGTTATTACTTTCCTCGCCCCTAACATCACCGGGTACTTGTGCCATATCTTCATGCACGAACCCTTTACACGAGTTGAGCAACTCGCGTCGTTTGTGGCATTGGCAGGAGTCGTGCTCATCACGAAGCCGGCGTCCCTCTTCTCGCATGCAACTTCTCCATCTGCAGCTAGTAATATAGTAGCGGAAGCTGTCGTAAATGCCACGGCAGAAGCAACTTCTTACCCTGGTGGAGAGCATATCTCAACAAGTGCCGAGCGCTTGAAAGCTATTGGCGTTGCGCTCTTAGGCGTCCTTGGAGCGGCGGTTGCTTTTACAACATTGAGATGTATCGGGAAGCGGGCGCACCCCTTGATATCAGTCAACTACTTCAGCTCATGGACTTTGATCGTCACAACCACAACTCTATCCCTTGCGCCGATGCTCGACTATGGGCAACCGGATCTACGTCTTGAACTGCCACACTCGATCCGCCAAGGTGCGCTGCTCATAGCGGTTGCCGCATGTGGTGTAATTATGCAGGTGCTTATGACGGCTGGTCTATCTATCGAGAAGAGCAACCGTGCAACTGCTATGACCTACACACACATGTTATTCGCAGCGGGTTTCGACCGTTGGATCTTTGGCAATAGTATGGGGTGGATGAGTCTCACAGGATGCGGTCTCATCATTAGTAGCGCATTATGGGTTGTTCTTACGAAGAAAGAGACGAGGAAGAACGGCGATTATGAAGATGTAGAGACAAGAGACACAGCTGTTGCAACCTCTACGGATAACGAAAACGCACCAATGCTTTGCGAGGATGTGGACAAAAATACGAATGAAAGAGAAGATATCGTACTTAAACGACTGTAGATATAATATAAGATTCTATAGGTAGATAGAGGGTTAGTAGTTTGTACATATATAGGGTTACTCGAGGTATAGAAAGGATGAAGAATTTGGTTCATTGATGTGTAGGTAGGTACGAAGTATATTGAATGAAATACGTACCGAAGTACATCTACTTAGGTAATCTACGTTGGTTGGGCCTAGAAGGACCTATCGAAGCTTAATATACAGTAATCAAATACAGTATAAAAACGGACCGTACAAGCGCGACCCAGAAAAGATTCGCGACTTTAGAGCTCTAACCGTAGGTTAACATCAATTCATTGACCCAAGCTCCCAACTCTGATAAGTTCATAATTTCTAATGCGACACCGATTTTCAGCACTTCTTCTAAGCTACTAGTTTCACATATGATTTCTAACCCTACAAACCCTTTCAAATAAGCAATCAAGATCGGTCTTTGATTGAATCTAAATTACCTACTTCGTAGAACCACGATTTATTCCCACCGTTTAGTGATAAACGATAAACCCATCCCTTCGCAAAGATGGTGCAAATCAGCGAGGTTAAGGGCAACAATCGCGAAAATCGAACTGCTGCTCACACTCACATCAAAGGATTAGGCCTCAAATCCGATGGCACAGCTGAGAGGCAGGCCGGCGGCTTTGTAGGCCAACAGCAGGCCCGAGAGGTAGGTTCCAGCCTCCTGGTGTCCGCCTATATCAGGCTGACCACTAACTTATTTTTCTGCTCGGCATAGGCTGCTGGTGTCATCGTCGACCTCATTCGCGCTTCGAAGATGGCCGGCCGTGGTGTATTACTCGCGGGCGGACCTGGGACCGGAAAGACGGCACTTGCGCTTGCGCTGAGCCACGAACTCGGCACCAAGATTCCCTTTTGCCCAATCGTCGGAAGCGAGATCTACTCAACCGAAGTGAAGAAGACCGAAGTGTTGATGGAAAACTTCCGAAGAGCCATCGGATTAAAAGTGCGCGAGACGAAAGAGGTTTACGAGGGTGAAGTCACAGAGCTCACCCCAGAAGAGGCAGAGAACCCGCTAGGTGGCTATGGAAAGACTATCAGCACGCTGCTGATAGGCTTGAAGAGTGCAAGGGGCCAGAAGAAGCTCAGATTAGATCCAAGCATCTACGAAGCAATCCAGAAGGAGAGAGTTACCGTTGGAGATGTCATCTACATTGAGGCGAACACAGGTGCCTGCAAAAGGGTCGGACGATCAGACGCGTACGCCACAGAATTCGATCTCGAAGCAGAGGAGTATGTCCCTATTCCGAAGGGTGAGGTGCACAAGAAGAAAGAGATCGTGCAAGATGTTACACTTCACGACCTGGACGTTGCCAACGCCCGGCCCCAAGGCGGCCAGGACATAATGAGTATGATGGGCCAGCTTATGAAGCCCAAGATGACGGAGATCACAGAGAAGCTACGAGACGAGATCAACAAGGTCGTTAGCAAATACATTGATCAGGGAGTAGCTGAACTTGTCCCTGGTGTCTTATTCATTGATGAGGTAATACCCGTCTACCGTACCGTACCATATTTCGAGTCGGGAAGCTAATCTACAGTAGGCTCACATGCTTGACATTGAGTGTTTTACATATCTCAACCGAGCGTTAGAATCTTCAATCTCACCGATTGTCGTGCTTGCCTCGAATCGCGGTATGTGCACCATCCGTGGTACGGATGGTGTTGTTGCCGCACACGGCATCCCCCCTGACTTCTTAGCCCGGCTCCTCATTATCCCTACCACACCGTACGAGGCCGACGAGATTAAGCGCATTGTACGCATCCGAGCAACAACAGAAGGTGTGCAGATCACGGATGCCGCTATTGACAAGATCGCGGAGCACGGTGTGCGCATTAGTCTCAGATACTGTCTTCAGTTGTTGACTCCCGCAAGGTATGTTTTCAACGGTCTACTATGTTTCTTATTCCTTTCGACGCGGTCTAGTAACTGATTTATCAAAAATAGCATTCTCGCTCGAGTCAATGGTCGTAGTCAGATTGATATCAAAGATGTTGCAGAGTGCGAGGAGCTTTTCCTCGATGCGCGACGGAGTGCCGACTTATTGAGCGGTGAGACAGGACGTGGGTTTATCTCATAAGCACGTTGTGTCTTAAGTTAAGAAAACGGGAGGTCTTAGACCACGGACGGGACTTATCATAATAATCCAATTTCGCAAGGCTACGGCCCCGAAACTGCGAGAAATAAGCATCTGGGATAGGAAAATTACATTACGGAGGGGTTTCGGAGTTCCTAAATGTACTATGTATGTGTATGTGTGTGTGTTGGTTGTTCGCAATATAAATAGAGAGACAACCTGGTTGGTTGCTTTCCAGATCGCCAACCCCAGAGATAATACTGAGACATTGCAAAACGACGACTCTTCACAAAAACTTGGCTAAGGACAATGAAAAGTTATGGGACCACGTGACTTTTACCTAGGCTAATTTCGGTTGACATTGTCTTTGTTGTTGCTAGCAATTGAGGGGAATGAGAGCTCGTAAGAGACAGTGTTAGGTATTCAGTCCGTTCCAGCAGGGGGACAGCAGAGCATAGAGCATTCCTAGTGTTATTGTACCTAATGTAGCTTTGAACTAAAGGGTTGTCATGTTGTTTCAAGCAGTTAAGAAGGGAAACTTCCCAACTTCTTTTTTTGGCCGCGTCGAACAAGGCCACTATATACCTATGTATGCATTGACTATTGACCTTATAGACTTTGTTGTCTGATATATTTGTTATACCTACTCTTGTCATCATTAGAATGACCGGCCTATTATCAACTACTGCGAACGGCAGAGCAATTGTTAGGTATTGGCCGTTGCAAACGCTGGACAAAGGAAGGGGTAAGAAAAAAAAAAGATAGGTAGAGAGAGAAGTGGCTCTAATCTGCAACAGACTGGACCTCAGTATATTCCCGAGACATAGTCCCAAAGAAACATATCCTCCTTTTCCCTTCTCTCGACCTAACCTAACCTGCTGGTTCTTAGGTATTTCCCTAGTAAACTAATTAGTTGCGTTGGCAAAACACTTTGTTAATGGCCAACGCTGGGTTTGTATGTGCGTATGCAGGAGAGCCAGCGGTGGTTAGTAGTGGCAACGGCATAAGGTCATTGACCACCTAAAGTGTACCTCCCCTCTTCCTAGGGTTATTGGTCATTGTCACCTAGCTGAAGCCTTATGAATAGAAAGGATATCAACAAAGAAAACAATCCTAACAAGCCCTTAGTTGTTGCCTCCACCATTTATTCATGTCTCATGTCTTCGCCTTAGATCAACAGCCACATCCGTACCCTACTACGAGTTAGTTTAGCTTATCACATCATCGTCGTCGCCGTCACCGTTTCCAAGGATCCTTCTCTCTTCAGATGCCAGACCCCTGAGGCCTTGGTAGTCGTTGTAGCGAGAGCTCGTGTATGCTCCCGAACTGGGACTCCGCTCTTTGAGCTGTCCGTCCTCCCCACACACCGACACGCTCTGCTTGGCTATTCACCGTTTGCGAAGAACATGACAGAACCTAGCAGCAGCTATCCTTCTCCCTCTACCTCCCAAAATGACCGGTCTTCCCTCCAGACTACAGATTCTTCAGCTACGCTGACAACTAGCCCTACAAGACAGGCTGAGTCTCGGTCTACGATGGCAACGAATTCCCAGGACGACAGGGAAGTAGAAGCAACAAGATCAAACCTCATAGCAGCTCCGGGAGCACATCCGTCCGATGATAGTAGCTCCTCAGCAACCGCCGCTACAAGACAAGGTCGAAAACGAGCATACTCCATCGACGTGGACGAGGCGAATCAGCCCCGAATCCAAGATCTTCGACTTTATACTCCTAATACAGCAACATCCAATACAACCGAAGGGCTTAGGGATCTAATATGTCTCTGTACGAAAGCACCCAAGGTTCCTAGGCCGCGTAACGGTACGTAAAGAAGTTTTACTCATGTTTTCTGCTGTCGTCCTATTTGCCTTAGCAAACTCGAGTTTGGGACTTTACCTGAGCCGAAAATATCCCCCACCGCTCTTCTTTCCAACCCTTTACTGTTTCCCTTTTGCTCCTCCAGAAACACGACAAGGTTTCAGATGTATCCCAGTGCCGAGACGGGTAACTCGGACGGCTATCTCTTTGTCCGTGTGTTGTGTTCTGTATTTAGAATTCAAAGGGGCGGAAATGAAAGGGTCGAGACTTGTCTTATTACATCCGGTAACAAATTGAATATGTTGCAAACTTGAATCTGAGAGCATACAGCTGACATTCGCTTTCACCCCTTCCAACAGCATTCATCCTTTATCGACAGCACTACCAAGGCCAGGTCGCCGCCCGGAATCCGGGACTAGCCAACCCGGAGATATCAAAGCTCATTGGCGAACAGTGGCGTGAGCAACCCGAGGAGATAAAGAATAATTGGAAACGGCTTGCAGAAGAGGAAAAAATTCGACATCAGCGTCAATACCCTGATTACAGATACCAACCTAGGCGAGGAGGCAAAGCTTCCGGCAGCAGGCCCATACCGGCGACTGGTGAAGACCCTGGCCACTGTCCTAAGTGCGGTGGACGTTATATCGCGACCCCAAGGACACCGTCTACCCCTTTCAGTGCCGCAACGCCGGAGGGTGCCGGGCCGGGCCCTAACATGCCGTCCTACGCGATACCAAACCCAAGAGTAATAGAGACAGACCACTTACGGCGTGGATCGGGTTCGAGCATCATGTCTCTTGACAGCCAAGAACGTCGATATATGCCACCGCACATGCAAAATATCGATGAGGATTACCCGATGATGTCGCCAATAGGAACGCCGGTGGATACAAAACGACGTCGTTTCAACGGACCGAACGTATTCACCCCGGGATCGCCGCCGCCGATGGGCTATATGTCTGCTGATCCACGATTCCACCGTCAACCACTCGCCGGCCCACCATTGTCGGCAACTGGATATGGTCCTGGGCCACTACCTAGACTAGGAGGTAGGCAATGGCAAATGGTTAGCCAACCTAATTACCCTCACATGCAACCACCACCGCCACCGCGTACACCAATGACGTATCAAGCTGCTCCGACACCAACTCGTCATACCTCCGCATTTGATGAGTCCCTCCGATTGCCACCGCTACAAACACAGGTCCCAGGCTCGCCCGCCGTAAGCTCGGGGCCAGGACCGGCACGTATGCCCCCTAGCGTTCAATCTGGTCATGGTCATGGCATTCCAAATGGTGCCAGTACCCCCCAAAAGCAATCACAACCACAACATGCCCTACCGAGATGGCCATTCCTACTGAAGCTGGAGGTGCTACGCTCGATTAGCTCGCCCCTGAAGCCCCCTGGCCCGGGAGGACCGTTGTTCGAGACGCGAGGCCCTCTTATTGCCATCGAAGGTGCGGCCCCGGCCATACTAAAAGAGGTGGCGGCTGTAGTAGAGAAAGCGTTGTCTGTTTCGGGAGAATATGCCGTAAAGACTTGGACGGAAGATACCCAGACACAACTAAGGCCGGTAGAGACGGATGGAAGGAATAATAGTAATACGAGTGAGAACGAACAAGTCATAAGAGAGAATAGCCCACCAAGAGGGTCAGGGTTTTTGAGTCCTCTAGCAACTTATGTTGCGAAGATGCTAAAGTGGCACAAGATATCCGAAGATCTTATAAAGTACATCACCAGCTATCCGCCGTTAGCAAGCACGGCGTATGGCGAGACGGGTGAGAATTCCATGGACGTCGAAGTATCGCCCAAGACCAAGCCTCGACTCCCGGTTGCCGTCGTATCCGACGGGTACAGCCTGACGGTCTCAGATAGATACGCCAGCTCGCTACACGTAAACGACGCCTACCGCGCGGACGACCATTGGCAGTGGCTAGCGACGCTCTGGCGAGGAATCGTAGGCCCCGACCTAACGATATACGTCAAGCGAACCGCGGAGGTAGAAGCCCAAGGCAACAACAGTCTCGTGGAGTTCGCCAACCCGGCCGTCATGGTGCTGCACGTGGCGGAGGGGGGCAAAGGGGTAGTAGACGAGAAGCTAGAACGGCGACTCGGGTTCGAGATCATGGAGTGGGTGCGCAGTGGGAGTTTCAAAGCGGGGTTTGTGATGCCGCCGCGATCATGAATGAATTTATCGATGGTTTTTTCCTTCTTCTTCTTCTTCTTCTTCTTCTTCTTCTTTTCACGTATTCATTCACGGGCGAAGAAAAAAAGAGCGTCGAGGGAGGAGGTTTACAATACCCCTATGTTGCATAGTTATGAATTTGTGCTCAGCTGGTTTAAATGTACACTTGTACGTAAAAACATACCTACTTACCTATGTATGGGAAAAAGAAAACGGGAATATTATGTATGTACCTAATGTTGTATGTTATGAATGTATGTATTGTAGGTAATGAAACGAGCGGGAGTTCGAATAGCATAGCATGGCACGGGTTGTGCGAATGGTATTGCATACATACCTCTAGGTATACCTACCTACCTACCCTCTACATATGGCTTTTTGGTGGTTTATAAGATCACTTGACTTTTTTAGTTTTTATTTTTATTTTCCGTGATGCTACAAAGTCTCACTTCAGGTCGTGTCAGGTCGGGGTATTCGCGATAAAGGTGAGACCCCCTGAGTTGGGTATTGTAGGACGAAGCTGTGTTGAGGGTGCATCGAGACTGAGGTAGGTAATGGTAATGATTTCGGGAGTAAGATAAGGAAACATAAATTTTAATGCTTTCATTTCGATTTTAGGGCTCTTAGTTTTCTTCTATATTGACTTCCGTATTATAAAAGTTGTAGAGAGGTTGTTATTGGTGATAGTGTATCGTAGGTGTATGTGATGTGATGTGATACGTTGATGTAAGGTAATGATGCCTCCGATTTGATATTACTGATATAGTGATAATTCTACTATATGCAACTAGCACTAAATACTGTATCATCACACTGTGATTTTCCGCAATAACCCCGATAAGGAGGTAATGATCATTCGCGTGACGAAACAAGCAACGCGTACTTTGTACTTTTTTAAACAAGAACAAAGAGCTTCCAACGTCAAGCTTCAGGGCCAACACCAAACGCCCTGGTCCATTATGAACTAACTACTTACAAGGAATTCCTGCCTAGAATGTCGGATGTCGAAGTTGGGCAGACGATTCGGCTCACCGACGGCCGCAATGCGATTGTTCGATATGTCGGACAAACCCATTTCGCTGTGGGCGACTGGATAGGTATCGAGCTTGAGGATGATGGGGGAAAGAATGACGGTTCCGTCCAAGGCGAGCGCTACTTCGATTGCTCACCGGGAAGAGGCATGTTCGTCCGGCCCAATACCGTAGCGGCCGTGCTTCAGCCTGCTCCGCCTACTAGGTCTGCTGCCCCCCCTCAAAGAGGGCCGCGAACAGGCACAGCTGCTAGACGACCAAGCTCTGTGACGGGACGACCGAGCTCCGTAGCGGGACGATCAAATTCTATGACGGACCCTTCGACGGGGACGGGCAAACGAATGAGCTTGAATGCGCCCAGCCCGAGTCCGGTACCTAGGAGGTCTTCGTCTTCTCGGCCGTCTAGTATGGTGAGGGTGCGTACAGCTTATATAGCTTATACTAATATATCCCCGCGTTTCTTTGATTCTGACCTTACCATGACAGTCTCCCACCAAGTCTCCTACGAAGCAACTTGGAATGACCGCCCCGCCTAGCGTTTCGAACTCGAGAACCGGTACGCCATCGAATGCGCGCGTTTCTTCCATTGGAGCGAGGCCTCGTCCTCCAGCTGTAAATACTAGAACATCTATGGGACCACCAGCACTACCTTCAGCTGGTAATAGAAGACAAGTATCGACGTCATCTAATACTACGAGATCTGTTAGTGGTGCCACAAGGCCTCCTAACGCACGGGTCTCTACTGCTCCTGCTCGTGCATCTCGTTCTACTGCTGGGAGAGTACGGTCAGGGGATTCCTTATCAGGAAATGAGGGTGGTAACGGATCGGATCTGGGCTCTCCCTTTAAGAGCGATGGAGAACAGACGACAAGCCCCGTGCGCTCTAGAACAAAGGCTCTAGAGAAGCTCACTTCTACGGGGCCGTCTTCGGCGACATCTTCTAAACAACCAGCGAGCACAGCAAGCTCTAAAGCGCCTCCGAGTGCGGCTGCGTCTACTCGTACATCTGCTACTAGCGCAGCTAGGGAGAATGAGGACCTAAAAGCAAAACTGAAAGTTCTGGAGCGGAAGCGATTAGAAGATCGGGAAAAGATCAAAGAATTGGAGCTCATTCAAGAGCAACGGGACAAGTTCGAATCTATTAATAAAAAGATCGAGGGAAAATACCAGTCTACGGCACAGGAAAACTCCGCTCTACGGAAGCAATTGAAGGAAGCGGAAGAACGACTAGTACAGATCGAGACCTTACAAGCGGAACATGAGACCGTCATGGAACTCGCAACGCTGGACCGCGAGATGGCCGAGGAGACTGCCGAGGTTTATAAAGCCGAGCTTGACGCCTTGAGGCAAAAAGCAGAGGAACTCGAGCTCGAAGTAGAGGTTCTGCGGGAGGAAAATGCCGAGTACTCCCAGGGTATGTCTCCTGATGAAAGAGCAAGTACGGGGTGGCTGCAAATGGAACGACACAATGAACGGCTACGTGAAGCTCTTATTAGACTACGAGATATTACTCAAGAGCAAGAAGAGGAGTCGAAAGCACAAATCAAAGCACTTGAAAAGGACTTGGAAGATTTTGAAGCCATAAAGGAGCAGTATCAAATCGCTAAGGAGAAGCTGCTAGAGTCCGAGGCCCGTGCTGAGGACCTCCGACAGCAGTTAGATGACAACGCGGGTGCGGAGAGCATGATCGAGCAGCTTAGCTACGAGAAGTTACAGCAGTCCGAACACATCAAGGAGTTAAAGGCCATGATAGAGGATCTCGAAGCACTCAAGGAGATCAACGATGAGCTTGAGGTTAACCACGTCCAGAATGAGAAGGAAATGCAAGATGAGCTCGACTTTAAGGATAGTATCATTGCCGAGCAAGGACGAAGAGCTTCTGAGAAGGACGACACCATAGGAGATTTGGAATACACGCTATCTCGATTTAGAGAGCTCGTCACTAATCTCCAGACCGATCTGGAGGATATGCGTGCATCCCACGCCGTTAACGAGGCCGAGTCTGAGCAACTTAATAGCAAATCGAGAGCGATGATGGATCTCAACCAGAAGCTCCAGCTCTCAGCCGTGAAGACGCAGATCAAGACCATCGATCTTGAGCTGCAGCGCATGGACGCCCAGGAAGCGCAACAGCACCTCCAGATTGTTAAATTGTTCTTGCCCGAGAGCTACAATACTGACAAAGATTCCGTTCTGGCGCTACTGCGATTCAGCCGGTTGGCTTTCAAGGCGAACTTGCTGCATGGCTTCGTCAAAGAACGTGTCAACAAACAGCCGCACCCCGGCCTTGAAGATGATGCACTCGCCGGCTGTGACGCATTGGATAAGCTTACTTGGGTATCTTCCATGTGTGATCGTTTTGTCAACGCTATCAGTCACTGTTCACTGGAAGAATTTGCCAAATATGAAGGCGCTTTATACGAGCTAGAGCCTGTCGAGCGAGCTCTAAATACCTGGATCGATGGCCTTCGACGTGACGAGCTGAAAGAGAAGCAGTGTGCCAGCGAGCTACAACGCACCATTGCTCTTATGACACATCTGGGCGAGGTCCACATCTCGCAAGGTCTAGAAAGCTTCGCAGATGAGATGCAGATGAAGACGGTCTTGATGCAAAGCCATCTAGAGTCTGCTGCTACGGCATTTAACATAATAAAAGATATGGTCCAAAGAGTCGTGCCTCCCAATGGTGATGAAGACGAACTTGCTCAACATTTCGCGAAGAAATCCGAAGCCGTCATTACCCAGACACGTAGCGCTAAGGTGATTATTAGCAAGGCGGTACGATCTCTGGAGGATCTTAGAGCCAGGTCGCTGGCTCTTACTCCCGATACTGCGGAGGCGTTTGAAGAGTGCGAGGCTGCAAGTCAAGAGCTTGCAGAAATGTCTCGAAAGATTGGCGTGGACCTTCATAGGCTACTCAACGAGGAAGGCCGCGACGAGCCGTTCACATACCCAGAGGTTCAGAGCGCCGTCCATAATACTATTATGACTGCATTCTCGTCTGCCGAATCCGATCTCTTCTCAACTTATCTCTCCAAACTTCGCACGCTTACTGGCCAAGTTACTGATCTTGCTGCTGTTTGCGCCGATCTATCGCAGACGCAGGAGTTCGAACGCAGCCAGGCGCCATGGCTCCTCCGCGCGCAGGAGCTTAAGGCACTCAAGACAATCCCGATTGATGCCGAGGAAGAGCTGCGACAACTTAAGGAACATTACAACGAAGCTCGCCGTACGATCGCTCTGCGCGATGAGAACCTTAGCACAGCTGCCCTCCGCATCGAAACGCTCGAAGCACGTATGCGGGACGCGAATGCAAAAGCATCTCGCATGGCAGACCTTGAAGCGCAGCTCGCAGACGCGCAGAAGCTTGTGGAAAGTCTCAAGAAGGACATCGAGCAGCAGGACCGCGAGGCCAAGACCCTCGAGGTTGACCGCGACAAGTGGAAGAAGATCGCCGGTGATAGTAGGGCGTTTGGCGACGAGACCGGCTCTAACGGTAGCAGGGCGAAGGCGGGCCAGGAGCGCGCGGTGGCCACAGCACGTGAGATGGATGCCCTTAAAAACGACATCGCTAGCTTACAAGCTGCTATTCGGTACCTACGCGAGGATAACCGGCGCGCGCGCGCAACGGAACAGGCCCGACATGATTGGCTTGCGGAGCCTCTGCAGAAACCCGTCCCGGTTGTAGAACAGCGAAAGGCGCTTGTGGCAGCTGAAGGTAGGGATGCGCTGGGCGAGCTCCTAAGGCTCGCGACATCCGCTAAGGTCTACGACTTGAGCACCCTACCGAAAGACAAGATGGCATGGCGTCCCGCGAAGGCGACGCCACAGTATCACGCTGCCAAGCAGGCTGAAGACTACGCTACGTGGAACAGCTGGCAAGGATCCGTGATCCAAAAGACGAGGGTGGTGCTCACCGCCGAACAAGGCAGGAAGAAACATCAAGAGTCGGACCACGCGAAGATGATGCGCAAGGCCGCTGCGAGACTGCAGATCCGACTCCCTGATGCCGATGGCAAAGTGATTCCTGGCGTTGGTGCAAGAGAGGTCCAGATCGTCGGGTCTAGGGAGTGGGAAGGGCTGCAGGGGAGACTTGCTGCGGCTATGTAAAGTGTAATACCATATAACATATGTTAGGTACCTAGGAGATGAGTATTGATTGGGGGGCTTATGAAGGGAGAGAGGTCGAGATACCCTTGATTAACTGGCATTTGTATCATTACACACTATTCTTTTTTATTTTTTTATTTGCAGCGTAGCCAGCAGCGCACAGCAAATGTTTAAGCCACGTCCATTATGATGTATTCATTGATTTATTTATATCTTGGTGTTGTAGAGATTTGTTCGTAGTGGATATGCCATGATAGTGGGAGCTTATACTCCCTGAGTGATTTCCCCTTTTTTCTACCTCGGAGAGCCGTACATCCCGTATCTCAACTCATCTCATCCCATCCCATCTCAGAAGCCATTTCCCTTTCGAAACCTCATAATTTCACTCACGCCTTCCCCTTCCCCTTCTTACCCTTCTTCCCACCCCCTCCTCCCCCACCAGCCTCACTTCCACTCGCCCCCGCTCCCGCCCCTCCAAACCCTCCAAGCCCCTGGCCAAGCATACTCATCATATCAGCCGGACCCCCTCCTCCTCCTCCTCCTCCCTGCATCTCCCGCATTATATCCTTAAACGCGTTCTCGCTAACCCCACCGCCCGTCATGGCCGCGCTGTACGCGGGTAATAACTCGCCCATCTTCCAGCCGCGCGGGACGGCGGGCCGCGGCCAGGGCTCGTCGTCGCTCGGGGCGCCGAGGCCGGGGACGCGCACGCGCCGCAGGGCGTCGCTCGCGTCGGTCGTGGGGTGGGCTTGCAGGTGCTGCGCGACGAGGACGTACAGGTGGTGCTTGTTCTTGACGTCGGCGGCGTAGGGGTTGGCAGCGTTTTTGTTCTTGCTGCTACTGCCGCCCAGCTTCACGCGCACGCGGCCCGGGTTCGCCCAGTCCTTGGGGTGGATGCGGTGCGCCTCGAAGACGGGGGATAGACGCAGCGCGGCGCAGGCGGCGGCGATTTCGCGCGCCAGGGGGTTTTTCACCGCGAGGGATTTGGATACGCGCCGGCCTTGGGCGCGGGAACGCGTTAGGTCGAAGTACACCGGGTACAGCATTTGGTAGTCTTTTATGTCGCTGGCTTGGACTTGTTGGGCTGGGGGGGCGGCGGAGGGGTGGAGGAGGGTGGGATTGCTGCTGGTGCTGGAGGGGATGGTGGAGGGACGGGAGGTGGTCGCGGGGGCTTTTTGGCGTAGGATGTCGGTTTCGATGAAGTCTTCGATGTCTCCCTCGCTGGGGTCCGAGAGGTCGCTGTCGGATACTTCTTCGATTCGGGGATGTGACATGGTGGGTGGATGACTTATAGGTATTATTTGATTGATGGTTTGTTTGTGCGGGTGTTGCGATGTTAAAGTGTGTTTCTTAGGGGTGAGGAGTATTTGGTAAACTGCGCTGTCCTTTTTAGACCAGGTACTTTTTAAGAAGGTTATGTCGATTAAAGCTCGTGATAATGAACTTTGATACGGAATATTGGACCTTGAATTTTGTAGATATGTGGGGTACCTTGTACCTATGATAGCTGTGTCCTTTTGGTGGAACATTGAATTGAACCTTACCTTATGAATTTGACGTTGAGCCTTCCCAGGTAGTGGGGTAAAGCCGCTAGTCCTCTATGGGGTTAGGGCGTTCCCTGCTGCAGCTCAGTGGAGAAATGCTCTTCCATCATCGTAAGTCGCATTAAACCCGGGTTTACCTAAACTCTTTCATTTACATAATTGATAGGCAGTACTTGCAGATAGCTTATTACACCTTGATCAACTCTTGGCTACACTACTCCAACTGTTCGTAAAGAGTCATCTCAAATGTAACCAATGGGCTTGTTCGGAAATACACCGTTAAGAACTACCGATCTACACCATCTTGGCCATTTCTCATCGCTCCCATGCAGCTTAAGTCTAGACTCGTCTTATAAGAGATAACGGCTGGGGCAACTCCCAGATTCCCCAATCTCATATAAAGGAACCCCAAGATAGGGATCACACATCCATCGTTAGTAATCTTCTCCAGAAGCCATGCCGTCTATACTAGAACGATTTACATGAACCGATATCCGCCCCGGTTGAGTGGCTAAGAAGGCATCTTTCCGGCTCTCGTTTAATCGCCCTAGTCGTAACGCCGTCACCTTCTTACATATCGATAGGCAATGCCTGTGTTTTTCAAGTGCCGATGTTACGGGAATCCATCCGCCAAGGGAACTGAGTAGTTTTACATTATAACCGGTTGCTATCGCCAACATGTTGTGTGACAATAAACTATAGATATATCCATCACTCATTCACTTACATATCAAGTATGACGTGACATGGATAGCTCCCCGCTCCCGTCGATTGTTCTCGAGCCGCGGGAATATGTAGACTAAAATATAACAGCGAGTAGTTATATATATGAGCTTGGTATTTTAGGTGTTAGGGAAAAGAAAGCACGTGTGTGTTGTTGAGCCTTGGTAACAATATCGAGTACGAAGCCAAGATGGCGGTAGGACTTACTACGCTCGTGGAGCCATTCTGGAGAGCTTCTTTTCTAGAGCTTCTGATAATTTTTGTTCTATTGGTAAGAATAACTAAAGCATTCGGTTTGAGTTTATTTTTGCTGAACTCTGTATAAGTATTTAGCAATAGGGATTACCAAGATCGTTTACAATGCCTTCTTCCACCCATTAGCCCCTATACCGGGTCCAAAGCTATACGCCATCTCGCCTCTTCCTATAAGCTGGTCTCGAGCGCAGGGCAGGTCTCCCTACAAGTTTGCCGAGCTACATGAGAAATATGGACCTATCGTACGCGTCGGCCCCGACGAAGTCTCTTGTGCCGGTCCCACATCCTTCAAAGATCTATATGGTCCTCGCTATGGCAAAGGAGGCCCTTTAACCCGTGATTCGCGGGCCGCGCCACTTAAAGATAAGTTCGGCGCCGTAGGCATGTTTCAAGCCGAAGTACAGGAGCATGCTAGAATACGTCGTCAGCTTAACCCTGCATTCTCCGAAAAGGCCTCGCGCGAGCAAGAACCTCTCGTGCTGGGATACATCGACTCTATGATTCGGAAACTGCGAGACGCCTCGGCGAGGGGGGGTGTTGTTGACATTGAAAAGTATACTATGTGGGCGACCTTTGACATCCAAGGCGACCTAGTATTCGGCGAAGATGTTTTCGAATGCATCGAGAAAGAGCAATACCATCCCTGGATCAAAATTAGCATGGCCTACTTTACATCAGGGGTTTACACACACGCCCTAAACGACATCTCGTCTTGGGCGCTATGGATTTGGCAAAAGTTCCTTATTCCAAAGAGTTTTGCCGATGCGCAGAACTATCATCTTAGGACTACTCTGGATCTAGTAGACAAGAGGATGGCTTCTAAGAAGACGGGTCATCCAGATTACATGTCGTTTGTTACTAGCGAAAGCAAAGCCGGCGAGGTTCTCACGAAGGAGCAGATGTATGCCAACGCCCAGATGCTGGTAACGGCCGGATCGGAGACCGTAGCAACAGCATCTGCTACTACGCTTTTCCTCTTGCTCATTCATCCAGAGGCTATGGAACGAGTTAAGCGTGAGATTCGGTCTACGTTCGAGTCGGAGCAGGACATTACAGCTGCTTCCGTTATTAATATCCCGTACCTTTTAGCTGCGATCGATGAGTCTATGCGTGTCTGGCCTCCGGTTGCAACATCGTTTAACCCTCGACTGATGTCGTCTGGAGGCTGCGCTGTGGATGGCTATTTCGTTCCCGAAGGCTCCATTATCGGCATCCATAACTATGCTGTTGGCCGACTAGAGAGATACTTTAAAGACGCGAAGAAATTCGTCCCTGAACGTTGGTTAGGCGATGAAAGATATGCCAACGACTCAAGAGAAGTCTTCCAGGTATGTCCGAATATCCTACGGGCTTTTCTCCCCCCACGGCATCATAACTTTGAAATAATGGACACTATACGTTCGGATATGATAGGCATTTAGAATTCTAAATATGCAACACAGTCTTAGGTCAAGCAAATGCTAACAGGTGTGCATAGCCGTTCAGCTCCGGGCCGTTGAACTGCCTCGGGCTCACAATGGGACGTATGGAGACCCGAGTCATCCTAGCCAAGCTTATTTATAACTTCGATATCGAGTTAATGCCCGAGTGCAGAAATTGGCTTGAGAATCAGAAGAATTATATCGCCTGGCATAAGCCTCCCCTGATGGTAAAGCTGACCCCAGCATAGCAAGTATAGGGTAGTACCGTAAGGATGGCGGCTGGAATTGTTGCATGGAGTACGTGCAGGTGGTATACTATCTTCAGCGGAATGCATATGCAGAAACTTCAATCATCTCGACGCCGTTTTCTTTCTCCGCCGTCTAGAAGTATTTAATAAGAATATAGTCTGGCCATATGTATAAATCCCATAGTTAAACTTGGCTCCCACAGCAAACAACGGCGTTTCCGAGGAGGCTAACAAAATCCTAGCTAGAGATAAAAACAAAGCTTCCCTTCCATAGATCTTCTTCCCGCGGGGTCGGCCCTGTTTCCGTTACCATGTGGACATATGCGGTGTCATTTGATATATGACGCGTACCACTCTCTCTGCAGCAGTCAAGATTCTAGCCCTTGGCCTAACGTCAAGCCAGCATAAGTATAGAGACCCATCACGCCTATCATATTACATCGGTAGCAGAATAGGGATAGGTATGTAAGCTAGATAGATATATGTATAGCTACCTAATGTAATCAGTGGCCGTGTGGCTTTGAGAGCCATCGCTCGGCATTGGTGTATGTATAGTGTTACGCCACCGACGGGATAACCCGTGTAAGATGGGGGAAGGGTAGGTATACTTCGTGATGCTATATTCGCATCCATATGCAGGCACGTAGATATTATCACTATGTACATAGCTAGATTCTACGCATGACCATTTAGAGTAAAAAAAAGAATTTCAAGGCTACATGCATCTAGATATACACCAACTATATCTCAACCCCCTCTGGGCTGATGTAGCATATACCTACCTACCTACCTCTTACGAGGCTTGAAGAATGTCTGCAGTAGGTATACTCCATGGAGCTAGCAGTGCATAAGGGCTGAAGACAAGCCCTCAAGACACGACCAACTCGCCAATCACAGCTCCCCATAAAGCAATTTTATAGACAATATGTACATCACAGGCGGTGTGGGGGTGTCAACTCGAAACTCTTCAGCCTCCCGCCGCTGAGACAGACCTACCTACATACCTCCGTACATATGCCAATCGGACAACTCCCAACCTGACCCAAGAGACTTGCTTTATTACCGAGACACAACGGCACGGGGGCGTAAGCTAGATAGGTACAGCCCAGTCGCTCGCTTAATATTACTAGATGCCGGATCCCTTTATGTAGGTACCTATATGCTTTTTTTTTTCTTCTTTCTTTCTACCTACTCGACCCGCGGAGAAACGTAATGGGCGAAACACATTCGGGACTTATTCGTTAACTAGGCTGTCTGTCTTAGCTGCGCAGCCTTATGCATGCGGCTTATTACTCCGATGAATAGTAATCATGTTCCTGGTGCGGGCGGGATAGCGGGCGTTGTTACTCGTGTTGGCCCTGACTGGTCAATACGAACGGGATATAGCACTGACGATATTTCGTAAACCTGGGGTACTAGGTAGGTACTTGATGAATATGTACTCTTAGGATATGATATGATTGTGCCTCGACATGATTCTATACTATAACTTATAAGTCTCTTCTCCTTTATCGTTATAAAAGAAGTAGGTGGATACTTACTGTTATCCCTATTGATGCAAGCTGTCGCGAATAGATAGATCACTAATGGATGCCAATGCGAAACAGAACAGGCATCACAGCTCGGTATGCAATATCAACTCTCTTCTATATATTTTCCCATCATAAAACGATAGGTTTAAAACGTCGTACCTATCGATTGCTCTCTATACCACACGTCTGAGTTTAATGAAAACTCATTATTAGGATTACATATATACAACGAAGACGAACCCCTCGGTGTCCTGTGGACATGCACCTAATTTACCCTGTTTAGCCCCCCCTTAATCGACTTGCGACCAACATAACCGGTTATCAAGTCAGATCCCTTTCCATGCTTTCCATGTCCGATTCTATGCAACCGTTGAATAAGAACCGTACCGGCTTCCTAATGCCTAACGCTCCTTTAATGAAATAGGACACCTCGTATACACTACCGCCATGGCTCCAATGTGTTCAGGCTTGTGCTATTTTACACAACTATCTGATGGCGGATCCATCATCCTCTTGCTTAGAAAATATATCTGCTTTCCTTAAGCACGCTTCCCGCCCTTCTGCCTCGGCAAACCAGCTGCTCTTCTCGACTTTACGTCGCCTTCGGCTAGCCACCTGCTTGCCTTGACGAGCTGAAGGATATTTAGGAATTGCTTTAATGCCATGATCGGGGCGCTAATTCCAGCAAGGATCCAAGGGAAAGTCGAATCCATCTTATTTGCGCGAGCCAGCTCTAAGGCACCAGCGCTATAAGGGTTAGTGAACAGCTGTCGAAGAACTGAACTATTAACTTGTGCCCCAGTCTGAATAGCAGCGACTTTCGAATCGCCCAGGGGTTCGAGGAGCTGTGGCGACAAAAGTGGCGAGGAGAAAGATAGTAGATATAAGGCGATGAAGAAAATTTCGTTAAGGGCGCAGCAAACGAAGAGAACAACCTAAGATCTGGTAAGCTAAAACCGAAGATAGCGGGTTTGGCAAGAGAAGAAACCGACCTTGTTGGTATAGTAAAGATTCAATAGCCAACTTCGTGACTTGTCCACGTTCTTGTGGCTGGTTTCCGAACCACCCATAGCCAATGTAGCGTACATATGCATATAGTGACTCGCGAAGTCTATCGTAATCAACCCTTGGAATACAATTGCCCATCGCGGGAAGGCGGAGGACAGGAAAACGAGTAGGCATGAGGTAGTGCATCGATCCGTTACCATATCCAGAACAGCGCCGAATTTGGTCGATTGCTCAAAATAACGGGCCGCATAGCCGTCGAGGGCGTCGAGGAGGCACGAGATACTATAAAGTATAGAACATGTCCGCGGATGAAGGGGCATGTAATAGAGGGATGCGATAGCTAGGACGATACGAGAGTAGCCTAAAGTTTTCAAGCTTCTAGGTCAGTTCGAGCTACAACAAGAGTAACCATCATGTAAAACACCACGAAGCTGTGTAACGGAACCATAGTGTTGCATGAACATAGTAAGCGCATACCTATAATATTGGGCCAAAACAGAAAGATATTTTCCTTCGGATAGTTATCGACCTTAGGATCTAACGATACATTGGCGTTGCCGTTATTGCCATTGACGTTCGTAGTGGCTTCGTGCTGACTGATGTCGGTAGGAGTGTCGTTAGCTTCGTCAGCCGCGGGAGTTGGTGATGGTGATGGTGTTGCTGCCGCTGCTGCTGCCAAAGCGGCCTGCCGCCTGGTTCGCCGTTCAGACATATTTGTGGCTTCCCTCCAAGTGCGATATAAATATATAGAGAAGGAAGCAAATGACGCGGTATTTATTCAGGAGCTGAAAGGGTGGTCGGCTTTGGCGCTCAGCTGAGTCGCACTGGCGTGCTAAGGTAACGCTCGGATGGTGTGATACGAATATGATGATGATGATAATGATAACTCTCCCGCGAAAGAACGTAGAAGAGGCCGGAATTAGTTTATCAAATAAAGGAAGGGATGCGACGGCGAAATAGAAGATAGGTGTCACAAGAATAAACAAGTCGAGTTGAACTAATCAAGCAAGTAATAACTACCAAAGGAAGAAGAGTGATGAGATGATGTGATAAGAAGACATTAAGTTACGACTTACGTAGACCCTTTCGGCTGAGTCGGCTGAGTCGGGAAGGACTTCGAGAAACTTTGCCAGTTGTCAAGGCTGTCAGGTCTGCCCAGGGCTCAACATTTGCGAAAGTGTAAAAGCTTGTCGAGGCTGTCAGACCCGCAATTCTTTAATAAAAAAAATGATTAGATCAAATGTTAAAAAGAGATAAGGCTGCAGGCGCCCTCTTCATAGTACATGAGGTACATTGCTAGTGTGTGACTATTTCAAGCATTACATGTTTGAACTTTCTAACCTTACGTTAGATACCTAAAGTACATCAATGTTTGTACGTACCTACCTAGCATTGGATGTAGGTTACACAGATAACGTTAGCAGCCTTCGTTATCGCGAATCTCCAGCCGGAACGGCACGAGTAAACACCCTTGCTTATTACCTTCCTCTATCTTCTTCCTTTGCATGAATTGGTCCTCACATGATATGTATGTGGTCTCTATACCACGTTAAACATATATACATACCTATGTTAAGAATTGGTTATTTCATCTAAGAAATTCATTTTGGTAGCTCAACTCGAATGTGTTATCCGCTAGATATAGTGCATGCAGATGTGACGTCGTTATGTCTTTGATAATGGCATGCGAGCACAGCATTTGCCCTTCACAAAAGTCTAAGCAAGCTCTTATTCGAAAGCTTATCCGAAAATATACTTTTTGGCTATAGGCAATACCCCCAAGTTATACTTATAAGTGACGGAGATATTAGACCTTCCCCCACTCGAGATCAGGCCAGGAACATCATAGCGCTCGAGAGTAGGCTATCCCCGATGAGACCTTTGACGCAGCCTTAACAATCCCTCACAGATTTGTGTAGTGTTCGGGTGGATGGTTCCAATATTTTAAGAAGTCTGGCTACTACCCGGGTACGTACGAGTTTATCAGGTTTTTTTTTGCTTTGGAGAGCAGGCATGAAAATAGCAAAGGATTCGTCGAGTCTGCTTCTTGAGAAAGAAGGATGCAGGTAGAAAACATTTCCATTCAAGTTGATTGGCTATTTACTGCTGTTTCGCCCTATAACGAGGATGGCTATAGTTTTCTATTGTATCAGACTGGACTTGGTAAGACTCTAGAAACCACAGTCCCGTCGACTTAAGCCGGTAGGATCTACATCCATCTTAGGGGCTTTCCGTGCTGCCTAGGTACCTTACTATGTATGTATATATTCAGCTGCTTAGTTCTGTATTTCCCACTTACATCCTATTACGTCCTATTATTAGCCCAGGGTGTCATGTATACATAATCAATTATACATGTGAGTATCAATTGATGCATGCGTATGTATGTAGTCTTTACCGTATGTTAACCTTACCTAGTTATTACTTTTTAAGGACTACTCCTTTTCTTATGTAGCCAGCCAGCGCATCAAGTCTTGTCGCATATCGCATATTTGACGTGGTATTAAATACTTTGGTACGTGGAGTCCCTTCGACAATCACTACTACATGTATGTAAGAACTGCTGAGAAAGACTGCAGATTATGTATTCCACTGTCTCAAGATACAGTGGCTGCTGGTCTGCATTGTAACCAACTCGACGCCACCAAGTCTCATCCTCGGACAATCTTAAAAGATTAGGTTAGGTACTTATATGCTAGGTACCTATTAGGTATGTACCTTCCCGACGTCTGTATGTAGGCTGGTAGGTACGATTGATCATTGGTCTAATAATTCGTCTAATTCTTGTCACACCCGGTTGAACCTGAATAATTCTTGTAATGCCTTGTATGTTTCCCCATTCAAATACCCATTCCCATTCCCATACAAGGTAGACGTACAAAACCCACATACTTGCACCCAATCCCACTTTACTACATAACTCTACCTGTGCCGTGCTCCCCCACTACTTCACCCACTACTCTGCTACTTCATGTAAAAATAAATCCATGTTCCTCCATGCAAGAGTTGAAACTTGAATTCTAATTCTTAGTCAAATATATCCCAGGACGCCAATTGGTCTAGGTACTAATTTGGTAGACATCTGATATAGATGTTAACAAGCTGGCGTTGAGAACGAGATCACATAAACCTCCACTATATCTCCCTTTAAACATTCCCTCTTATTTTATTCCCCCCTGGTCCTCTCCTCCTACTTCTTCGATCGTCGCTCGTCTCATCCAATTTATCTCGGAACGGGCCGTGCTTGTTCGTAGTGTCCGAATTTGGAGTTGGTCTTTGGTAAAAACTTCCTAGGCCTGCACGGTGTCTCCGATCTTGGTCTGATTCCAGACCCGATTCCAGACCCGAGCCCGCATACATTTTGCCCGTTTCTCTAGCAAACAAGAGTACCAGAGGGGACCAATAGGCCCGAAGACCCCAGGTCCCTCAAAAAATCTGAGAGGAGAACAGCATATGCGCGGGATTGTCGGTCAGCCACCAGAGCACGAAGGCGGTCTACCGAATAGAAGACGGCCTTTGCGTCTCTAGGTCTCCAGCTTTCAGGTATGATCGTTTTCTCCTCAATGGGAGAAATTTCCCCTGTACCCGTATTTACCTTACCCTTATATACATCACAGCAGAATATTCATTTAACTACTCTCTATATTAAAACCTCTTGTCACAGCATTTGTATATATACGGCTTGGCCTATTCCGCGGCCGTCTCGTCTATTTCTTTTTTAGATCTATCACATCTCCCGTAGTTAAATGTTAAATTGACATCATTTAGCTCCACTAAGTCCAGGGTTCTCGCCCAACAGCCGATCGCCCCCCCGATAGACGAAAAAAGACCCTTTCGGCAGAGCCTGGCCGGGTCAACGTGTTCGCCGGAACTCTACTAAGTAACCCACAATTATTTGCGATCGCATCTTTCGACCATTTCGAGTTCCGCCTTTTGTAAAAGAAGGGAGGAAGAAAACAATTCAGTTAACACGATATCAACAATTGATTTGCTATGTGCGCAGCTTCGGATCGCCATCCCACGTTCAAGGCGAGCTTCGCCGAAAGAGCCAACAATGCCTCCCACCCACTACTCAACTACTTGTTCCGGCTTATGGAATTGAAGAAGTCGAATCTGTGTCTTAGTGCCGATGTTACCTCCGCCCGCGAACTTCTCACCCTAGCTGATCGAATCGGTCCGTCCATCGTCGTGCTCAAGACGCATTACGATCTCGTCGCCGGATGGGATTATCATCCGCAAACTGGTACCGGTCCCAAACTAGGTGCTCTTGCGAGGAAGCATGGCTTCCTTATTTTCGAGGATAGAAAGTTTGGGGACATTGGCAGCACGGTCCAGTTACAGTACACCGCTGGAACCGCGCGGATCATCGACTGGGCACACATCGTAAACGTCAACATGACCCCCGGCAAGGCCGCTGTTACTGCGCTTCAACAAGCAGCTGCCCGGTGGCGTTCTCGTGTCAATTACGAAGTGAGGACATCCGTCTCGGTTGGAACCCCGGTCTCGGACGAGTTTGACGAAAACGGTAGCGAGACAGATGGACAACCTACAACTGCGCTGTCGCCGTCAAAAGATCCTCCACCGTCGTCAAACTTCCGCACTGAACATACCGGTAGAAAAGGGAGCATCGTGTCTATTACTACCCTCACGCAATCATTCGAACCGGTGGATTCGCCGCGCTTTGGTAAGTCTATTGCGGAAGGCGATGAGCTTGTATTCGCAGGGATTGAGGAACCCCCTTGGGAGCGAGGACTCCTGATATTAGCACAGATGTCTAGCGAGGGAAATCTCATGACCAAGGAGTACACGCAGGCCTGTGTCGAAGCCGCGAGAGAGCATAAGGATTTCGTGATGGGTTTCATCTCCCAAGAAACTCTTAACAGCGAAGACACAGATTCCTTCATCTCTATGACCCCGGGTTGCCAACTACCTCCCGAAGAAAACGAAGAAGACAGTAGCGTTGCGGGCGATGGTCTTGGCCAACAATACAACACGCCCACAAAGCTTGTAGGACAGTGCGGTTGCGATATTGTCATCGTGGGACGAGGTATTCTCAAGGCGGCATCTCCGCAGGTGGAAGCCGAACGGTATCGAAGAAAGGCATGGAAAGCATATCTCGGCCGGATAGAACAGCAGGCGTGAGAGTAAAGACATATTTCGCATTAGGCGGATCTATATTAAGCATGGATGATACATTCGTCCCGGAGCCTGGAGTTCTTTCGGCTTTATACAAGATAGTCATCATTGTCATTCGGGGATCCCGGTCAACCAAAAAATTGGAAAGGGCTATAAGAGAGAGTTGAGTCATACCAAATTATAGGTATTAAACTGTTTTCCGTGTTAATTGGCATATCACGGTGGAGTTTTTCTCTGTGAGCGGTTATGTGAGTTGCTTATGCTAAATGCGTACCTACGTTTAGGGTTCTTGAGATAAGAATTGGAATTGGGTGCATCTCGCTAACCTATCCGTTCTTAGTTGTATTTTGCAAGATGAGATGATTCCGGATAACCATGATGTTGTATATATATACGAACATAAAGATTGACTTAACGAGTTTCATCATGATAGCACTCGCTCATTATACGCACCTTCGCGCTATTCGTCTATAATGCTTGTAAGTCGCGAAGAGGCGCAATAGGCGGGTCCGGTGCGGTATGTGCCGTAACTTTCTTATAGCGTATATGACTTTAGCCAACCGAGTTGCTCCAATGCACACGGTGATTGATTAGTTCTAGTTCGTCTTAAGTCAGAAACCGCTTCCGTGGAAGCCTGTTGGCGATACTAGCGATGCAGGTGCTGGGGGGCTATAATCCGTACATGCGTGTATCATATAGGTCTGGTAATAGGTCCCTACATTAGGCCTAGGTACCCTACCTTAATTTTTTTTTAGTGCTTAGGTACGGATGATTAAACATCCTCATTAAATAAGCACGGGGACAACGGTCTTAGCGGGGAAAAACCACCCGAAGACAGAGAGAAACGTTGTTCTTTTGAATATGATTGGCCTATTAGTGGTAAACCATTCCTAAAGTGGTATAATCTAGAAAGTTTATTAAGTTTTGATCTGCTAATATAACTGGGATAACTTTTCGTTAGTTGGCAAGTTCCGGGAGTTGTTGATGTACTAAGTACCTGAAATAGATAACGTACCTAGGTAACTCTATATAGAATTTATTTCAACGTCACGGTATAGTGGCTGCTTCTTCAAGGAATGAACGTCGGTCGGGGGTTTCCACGTTTTTATTGCAGACCACACACACATGCACACCTTGTAAGAGCGGGGGCTACCATGATTTTATTATGCTAGTGTAATAGGCTGGGTACCATAAACGTAAGATTGTACATAACGTGTACGGATATGAGGTAGGCAGGTACATGGGCAAGAAGTAAGCATTGTAAGGAACGAATCCTCTGTGCCGCTTCTCTGTCTCTTTCACATATGAACCTAACCCTCTAGGTACTTAGCCGTCCATACGATTCACACCGCGCAATCCCGTGGGCACTTGGGAGCAGAACCAAACTTTTCGTCCACATCTACTACCATACTACCTATTCAATTTCCCCTCAACCCACAATCGTCTGTCGGGTCACATCGTTACAACAAACCTTTTGAATTCGTCCACATTCTTATCGCCATGTCCGCCGCTGAAGTGGCTGAGAGCGCCGTCCAGATGGACTCCAAATCAAATCAAGAGCTTCATGGCAAAGCGCCACCTCGCAAACGAAGGCGGATTGTCATCAGCTGCACCGAATGTCATCGGAGGAAACAGAAGGTGATAAACGACCCCCTGCTTTCGCCCAACAACACAACACGCCCTAACCTATTAACGCCGTTTTTAGTGCGATCGAAAGATGCCATGTACGAATTGCGTATCGCGGAATAAGGCAACCGTCTGTCGGTACGAGACCGGGACGCCACATACAAAGTCCGATCGAAAAGGTTCATCTCAAAATGTCCATGACCGCCCATCCGATCAGCTCGAGAGTATATCGGTGCCCGTCAAGACCGCAGACTTTGGCTACTCGTCTAATAGCGTATCGACCCTTGGGATATTGCGCAAGATCGAAAGCAATGGGGAGCCATTGGCAGGAATGCCATCTGAGAGATTTGAAGGTGATAATTATGGCATGCGCGAACGATATAAGACGTTGATTCGCCTGCTGCCGGCAAGGACATACGTCGAAAAGTTGGCAGCCATCTACTTCAGAGATATCAATTGGCAGTACTTTAGTATTGATGAACCCGTCTTTTACCAGTTGATGGAGAGATGGTATAGTATACCGTTCAACGTCCTATCAACGGCAGGTCTACAAGCTTTGGATCCAATATTAAGAGCCTTCCCGGCTCTTATATTCCAAATGCTAGCCTCTTCCCTCCTATACCTTCCCGAGGGCATGGAAGAAACATTTGAGGCGTTAAAATATACCAGCAACATGACGTTCGACGATTTAGCATTTGATTATAGCGAGTCAGGTGTTTCTATCTTAACACTCTTAGGCAAGCGTCAAATGTCTATCATGACGGTATTGGCCGGTTGGACAAGGGCCGCCTTCCTCAAGTATACCGGTATGGTCACCGAAGCTGTAAGTTCTTAATTTCATTCTGAGTTATCTTTCCATTCTAATATCTTAATAGTGGCATCAAGTGGGAACCAGTATTCGAGATGCCCAAGAAATTGGCCTGCATCGGGATCAGATGGATCCTCAACCAAAGCCAGATGACTCCACGGAAGAGGCTTTGGAAAAGATGTGGGATGCACAAAGTCGCCGGAGGGTCTGGATGACCTTACTCGGCTGGGATTTACATACCGGCGCCGTACTCGGTAGACCTACCAGCGTGGATTACCGCCTTATGAATCGAAGTCTTCCTATCGACTCGATTATTCCCAAGGACACGAGAAAGTCACCTATAATATTGCGTGGTGAGAACGATCCGCCCACGCCTTTGACACGAGCGATATGGTCATGGGAGGTCATGCGGCCATTACGGGATATTCTAGACCTAGAGAAGGAAGGGCCATTTCCGAAGGATTTCTCCAGGGTTGAAAAGATCCACCGAGAGTTGCTAGAACTTTATACCCGCACCCCACCACCTTTCCGCATGGAGAATCCGGACACACGATTCGACAGCCTTCCGGAGTGCTGGTGGCTACCATTTGTTCGGCCGACTTTACCCCAGCTCATATCTTTTAACATTATGGCGCTACACCGTCCGTATGTTTTTACACGGCCAACTAGCCGTTACGAGGCGCTTAAGGCAAGTCTAGACATGTTGGAAGCACAGAAGATTTACTTTGCTCTTCTGAAGCCGCAGCAACACAAGACTTTCACACTCTTTTTTGGTACATTCGATGCCATTATCATGATAGCGTCCATTTATATTTTATTTCCGAAGGAGCACCAGGCGATGTTGCCGGGGGCGCGGCAACATTTCGAATGGGCAATCGAACGCTTCGAGAAGATGGCCACTCGAAATCGACTTGCCCAGGCCGCCTTGAGTGTATTGCGTGCTATATACATCCGCTTCAAGAAGGCTGTAGGCTTTGGCCTGTCGGTCAAGACCACTAGCGAGTCGGGTGGCAGCTCTACGAGCAGCGGAACCTCCAGTAGCTCTTCCGACATGCATACGCCTAACTCTCTATCAGAGCCCTCGTCTCAAAACCCGAGTAGTGCGTCGAACGTCGGCGCCTCCGCAGCACCGCCGCCGGCAGGGGAGCGAGACGGAAGTATCAGCTCTGGTACTGGCTTAACGCCACCCTCCGGGACGTCCGACAATATATTCGCAAGCGGAGATTGGACGTTGCCAACTAATTTTGACTTCAGCGCGATCATGCCCATGTACCCCATGGGAGACATCGCATATAATGACTTGCAAGCCGTGCGAGGTGGCGATGGGCCGTCGACGACCTGGCCAGAAAGCTTCCCAGGGACGACAAGCAGTAGTAACCTCGCACCTAGCCTAGCGGAAGGGCCCACGGGAGAGGAGCAACCAGCATGGCAATTCGGTGGTGAATTTGGTAACGACACGTTATGGAATATACTAAATCAATTTCCTACTTACTGACAATGAGCTGATTGATATGCGGCGTTGGGGATGATAAGATATAATACGACATGACGGAGACCCAGAACGAAGCTAGGCGTTTTTTGTATGCAGACGAAATGGTTCAGGGCTGTGATATCCCCCCCAATCTTTAGTGATTCGAATAAGAGGAAACAAAAAAAATTGGAGTGTGCCAAATGATCATTAAGAGTGTCCTAGAAGGGCCGCCCAAGCTCAAGCCGATCCCTTTATAATGCTGAAACTTTTAAGTCCGAAATTTGGTGCCGGCCGATGGGTAGGTTGTTAAGGCCGATGGCGGCTTTAAGGGTCGCTTGTCCCATACATAAACGAGCGCGCTCTCCACCGAGATAGGTAAGTCGCCAGGCAAACAGCAATACCTAATTCGTCCAACGGGCTCTGCAGCTGGTAAGGGTGTAACCGCACCGGATGGCTCTGTCAGTTGGTTGTCAGCGTCTCGGGCTGGGCTGGGCTGGGCTAGGTGATATATCACATAGATTAGCTGCGTGGTACGACCGGGTAATGAATGGCCTTTGCTTTTGAGAGCGGACGGTCGGTGAGTTAGGTTGCGTAGAGGGATGTAGTATCGAGGGGACTTGGTGGAACGTATGTGCTCATGATGGTGCTCGTTGAGTCGGGTTATTTGATTTGATTTGGTACAGTATAGTAGCTGTGTATGTCGGCATGTATGTTGTGAAGATTACTTAATTAGATGATGCCGAGCGGGATACCTACCTATGTTTTGACTTATCATGGTCTTTTCGTACCTCCCGCATCGTATCGTATCGCGTCGTATCGCTCGTGTCGCTACGACTTTCCTTGCGGGCTTTGATCCATCCAACTCGCCGTTATATACCCCGGTAGTTAGTTAGGTATTACATAGACAGAGATAGGTACACTACCTACCTAGGCAGATCAAACTGCCAACCCGCCCCCTTGCTGGCTGCCCTACCCGCCGCGCTAAGACGATTACCCGCATACGGAACCTAGGGGCGAGCAGACGCGTACATAGTGTATCGGGGACTGATGGCGACGCCCCTATTCGATGATGGGGAGGGCGGTGGGTCCTACGTAGGGAGGGAGAGAGTGGATCGTGAGCGGGGGGAGGGGGGAGGTTGGTGTTGTACAAACAAGGCTGGCTGGATGGCTGGATGGCGCTATCTGCGTCGGGGAATATCGTGTTGGCGGCAGCTGAGCCGCGGACGTACATACAGCGGGAGAAGGCGGGTTGATCGCCATGGGTCTAGGTAGGTTAGGTAGGTATTTTCTAGCGAGTGTGAGATGGGGGGGCACGTGTTGAGATCGGCTGGGATCAGCTTAGGGGGGAGGAGGAGGAGAGAGAAGAGGGGGAGTTTGGGCGGAGTGGAATGGAAGGGGATGGGGATGGAGATGGGGAGTGCTCTGCTTTTTATGCTGTGTTGTAACTTGTAAACCTGCGGAAGTCGGAGCGTTGATGTTGGCTGGCTGGCTGGCTCTGCGTAACGTCGGCTTACTCCTTTTGTGGTGATTATTTTTTTGGTTTCTTCATCGGTGAGCTGTTATTGTGAGGAGTAGTAGTAAGAACCGATAGTTCTCTTCTACTAAAGGGGGTTAAGAACAACACTGTTAATAACGGGCCAGTTAATAGTTTGATCTACTTATATTAGTAGCCTTCTCCACCCCGAGTTGGTTGTAGCACCTTTGCTAATACCACTTTAGCTTCGTGTTTTCTTTTCTTTGTTCGTCTCACTGTTACTATCACATCTCATTCTCTTCTTCACGATCCACTACCTACGGGTTGTCCCTCAGAACTGTATCGAATGCACAGTTTTTATAGCATTAAGGATAGGTAAGGAAAAGCTAAGATTTAACAATAGGGGCTTTGTAAGACTGTATTTAGGTATTTTGTTACATTTATTCGAGTTAATCATACATATGAGGTAGTCAGCTCAAGTAATACTTAATACTATGGGTCATGCATTTATACTGCTATTATTATTCAATAGTTACACGAACGACTAACGTTAGGTTAGGTACATTAGAGGTGAACAGTCTACATTTTGTACAACAACCCTGAATGACAAAGCATCCAGACGATCAAGGTTACCTTAAGCAATATATTAGTAATATATACGTATAACGTGAATGGTGACGGGTAGATGGCTGGTGCTATATAAAGCTACATCTATCTTGGAGGAGCTATATGTAAATGTTTGTAAAATGCACCCTTGGGTAACAAGTTTGTTTGCCCGACCCGATCCCCACGGTGAGGATAGTAATGCCATGTGACTCTAGATGTTAAATAGTAGTAGAGTCATTGCTCTGACTGGGTAAAGAGGTAGTGTATCCATCCGGTGGATTGGCAGCTAGCTTTAGGGGTGTCGTACGAAGCAGAAGAGCCCCATTTGTCAATCCGTTTTCCTTCTTAGAGCTAGCAATAGATATAAAGATTTCAACTAAAAAGAGGAGAAGTAAGAAGGATAAGGGTGGGTAGAATGCAAGGTGGATATAGGTATCTTTCAAGGTACCTCAATGAAACTAAATTAGACCATAGGGCTGCTAGCCTGCCTGCCTGCCTGTGGGAGATCTTAAGGCACATGAAAGACGTTAGGCCAATCATAGCAGCCAATGAGCCCGCTACCCCAGACCGTTCGGGTCCCTGCAGGACGGCAGACAGGGAAACCACGAGTTGAAGATCCACTTTAGCTTTGATGGCTTATACATACGTATGTACCTATCTTGAGCTTCATTATCTTGTAGGGTTTGTCCATGTTTGCAGCCTCGTCCATCTTCATTTTATTTTCTTATGGAGAACTTGGAGTGACGGTTTTCCTTCTGTGATAATACAAAGCTAGTGGTTTTACCTGACAGAAATTACACTTATCTTTTATGCGTTGTTATCTTGAAAGCTTTTTATCATATCATGACCGTATTAGATAGGCATGTAGGTATGTAGGTACTTACACTTGACAGGTAGTCGCGGTTGCCTCAGTACGAAATCCGCAGAGCACCGGTTGGAAACCGCAACTGCCTTTACAAAACGGCAATTCTTTCAACTTAAAAACTAAAAACATAAATATTCCACCTTCTTCCTTTCGTCCCCCATCCGTAATTTTCTAATACCGTCAACATTTTTTGTACTACCTAGTGCAATGAACATATAAACTTCACAATAGTTCATACTAAACACCCCAAGTCTCTATATACCCAGCTTGTCACAGGTTTTGGAAAATGGATCCTCCCGATACCCCCAAATATGACCCTTCAAAGCCGGGCAATCTCGGAGCTTTCGCGGCGCGCTATCACGAGGCTTGTCGGCATCATGCAAGCAATGAACTGCTGATCAGGGTACGTTTCTAGCATCGCCAACCACAAACTAAATAGAGCGCTGTTGTTTACTAATGATTTTCTATATTTAGGATCTTATCCAGTATAACGACAGTGTTGAGACGTATTTCCACCAGGAGCTCAATGCTTTAGAAAAGAAAGCTAGCGATCTGCAGCTTGACCTAAATAGCTCGGAGAGGACTCGAAGAGATCTCAAGCAAAGACTGGATGAGATGGAAACCAAATTGGGTTATGTTCCGGTATTTACATACTTATTTCTAGCTTAGCTTTTTCTTAGGCAACAACTAAACTCTCGTTTCTAGGATCGCAACCTTTACGTGGTGGTCCTCATCGATGGGGATGGACTAATTGTATGTATTTGCTCCCAACTGACCAATGGTAACACGTTAATTAACTCTCTTTCGACTTCAAGTTCAAGGATAACTTCGTTAAGAAGGGTATCGAAGGCGGAAAGAAGGCAGCCAACGAGTTACTCAAAGCCATAAATGAAAAGTTTAACTCCGCCGAGACCACTTCAGTCACAGTTATTGTTAATATCTTTGCCAATGTCACTGGCCTTGCTAAAGCTATGAAGCGTGATGGTTGTGTTGCTGACAAGCACGCCTTGCACGATTTTGTGACAGGCTTCAACCAAGCCAACGTATCATCCACCTTTGTGGATGTCGGGTTTGGTAAAGAATTAGCTGATGCGAAGATCCTAGGTATTTACCCTTTATTTTACACATATTCTTCGAAGAGCAGGGGCTTTGTCTAACGTATCAATAGATTCTCTTAGGTTCCACTTGAAAAATTTCAACTGCAAGAAAGCGGTATTAGGTGTTTCTCACGACGCCGGTTATGCCCCGTTCTTAGCAAATATGATTACCGATGATACCAAGGAACGTATGGCCCTTCTTGAGGGAACTAAGACTGTTGTAGAACTCGTTGCCCTAGGTCTCCAAATTTTCAATGTCCCAAGGCTTTTCCGCCATGAGAAGCTATCGGTAAAGCCGCAAGAACAATCTCAACAAGTCTCACCGGCCACCTCCCCCTCCCCCTCTCGGTCTAAGCCGTGCAGGCCGCCCAACGTGTCCAGCAGTGCCGCCTCATGGGCAGCTATTGCTCGCACAATGCCAAGCCCGCCCCCTCGGATCAGCCTGCCGATTCCTTCTAAGGCAACGGCCACGCCAACACGAGCGAGTCGGCCACCTCCAGCGCCATGGAACCCGGGACCCCGGGGACTGGACCCGCCGATTCGAGTTGACCAAGTCGTCTTAGAGCGTCTTAGAAAGAGGAAGGACTGCCATAGGCTATGTAACAACCACTTCCTTCGAGGTCCTTGTACTAGGGGTAAAGAATGCAATTTCACGCATGACTATTCCCCCACAGAGGAGGAGAAGAAAGCCATTGCCATCTTCGCCCGCTCGAACCGCTGCATCTTAGGACAGGAATGCAAAACCATGGACTGTATCTACGGTCACCATGTAAGTTCTTTATACTGGCTGGATTACTACCACCATATATACTCTGTAATTTCTTTGTATTCAGTAGTCTGAGAACTGCCATGTGTTGTAGCTAACAGGTACTTATAGTGTCCTTGCGTTACTGATGGCATATGCCTTCACCCGCACTGCAAGTTCCGTCTGGATGAGCACCCCCCCGGAACTATGTTTAGAGGTCGCAGACCGAAGGATGATAGTGAGGCCCGCAGCGAGAGCTATAGTTACGACGGTGATGCCAAAGATATTGATTAATGATCTAACGGCCCACGGCCTTTCTTCTCTGTCTAACCTCTTCGAATATGAGGCATTTTCGTTTACGCGCTGACATCCCCAAAACTGACATTATGATAAAAATAAAAAGGAAGAACTCTTGTCAATTCGGTCCCAAAGTCAGAAGTATTCAAAAGGGTCGGAAAAGGGCTAGTTACACGAAAGAAAGTGTTCTTAAACACTTCTATCGGTGTAGCCGATTTCGCAAGGAGAACGGACTTCATTCCAAGGCCACTACTGGAAGACGAACCCCGTGCAATGCGTCGATGGTATTTGGCAACGCCATTTCTTGTGATAGTGGCCTTGATTACAAGTTTAGTTTACGACGCGGAGGCATGGCAGCACATACTGTTTCTGATAGTGTTGGCCCGCGGATGCTACCAAATTGGATGTCGTCGCCAAGCATAAATCCATAGGTACCTAAGTTGTTTAGGAATATGTAGACTTTGTCAGATACGAATTACGAATGGAATGCGCTATCGGCCGCCATTATTCGAGTTTCCCCATGGGCGTGTCGTTTCCTTGCCTCTGTAAGTAGTGTAGAGAACCACTTGGTCTGTGGTTACTAAATGAGTGAGTTTGGCCAAGGCGTAACGTAGGTAAAGATGGATGCGTAGTAGACACGCAGATCGACAACATGATATTGCAGCCAATATGCACCACTGCCTGTTAACTTTCTTTCTCTTCTATTCTCTGCCGTAGAACTCTTCGTAATTCGCGGTTAATATACATCTTCCTAATTTCCGTCTTCCTCGAAAATTAGGTATACAAGAGTAATAGACAAATATACAAGGACCATGCCGGGCCTATATGAACTAGGTACATACCTAACCAACCACGCAAAAATACGTGGAGAAGCAACAAGCCCTCCCTCCTTGCGCTCCAATTACTAGTTCCACGGGAGAAAAGGGGGGGTGGAACGACGCCCGCTTAATAACCACTCGAGTAGCACCGTAGCCGCCACTTTAGCCGAGGGGGATAGGGATAGGGGGGGCGGCGATCGCGAAGCTTCCAATATATAAACGGCAATTTTGCGTGGCGCTCGCCACGTTTTTTCATCTCCCGGCACTATACATATGCATGCAAGCAAGCAAGCATTTTCCTCTCAGGGAAATTGGTCCTCTCTATCTAGGTAGCCGTTATGCTACTTTACCCCGTTTCCATCTGGCAACAAATCTTCCCCCTATCATGGCGGCGGTGGCGCGATGAAGATCTAAGGGGTAATTTATTGGATGCGGGGAAGCGAGCCGAGAAAAGCTTGTTTTGTTCGTGGCTTTCGTCACGATGGGAGGATTTGCCGGCTCTTATATATATTGCCCGTTTCGCCATGTGTCTTGGGGGGGAATGTGGTTATGCTAGTTTTTAGGTAGAACGGCCTTCCTCTCTGCTTGAAGCTTCTGCCTCGATTTTTAGATTGACAAGAGACAATGTTATTCTCCGCGCTCGTTTCGACGGGCCTCATGGCCAGCGCGGCCATGGCGGCCTCGCTTACGCAGGTCTCGAACTACAACAACAACGCGACGTTTAAAGCCCAGATGTAAGAATCTTCCTTTTCACCCCCCCTTACCATGGAATTGACAGATATAGGTATGTCTATAAGCCGGACAATGTGGTCGAGAACCCGCCGCTAGTAGTTGTCATCCACTCGTGCCAGTCATCGGCGCAGTCGTACTTCCAGAACAGCGCGATTCCGTGGCGCCAGGGTTCCGACAAGAAGGGCTATATCACCGTCTGGCCATCCTCTCCTAATAGCGGCACCTGCTGGGATGTATCATCTAAGCAGTCCCTAAGTCATCTTGGTGGCGGTGACTCCCAAGCCATCGCAAACATGATCTTGTACGCTATCTCCGAGTACAAGGTTGACCCCGAACGGGTCTACGTCACCGGCGGCAGCAGCGGTGCCATGATGTCCAACGTGCTCGCCGCTACATACCCAGAGCTTATTAAAGCTGTGTCCCTGTATAGCGGTGTGGCCGCGGGATGCTTTGTTAGCTCGTCCGGCGGTGTCGACCAATGGAATAACAGCTGTAGCGGCGGGCAATCGCAAGCCACTCCCGAGAAATGGAAGCAGGTCGTGCTGGACATGTACCCCGGATACGAAGGACCAAGGCCCAAGATGCAGATCTGGCACGGTAGCGCCGACAGCACATTGGCGCCGCAGAACTACCAGGAGGAAATCAAGCAGTGGACTGCTGTCTTCAACGTGAGCCAGGAACCTACGGAGTCCGTGCAAAACACCCCCAAGCAAGGATACACGACGAACAACTTCGGCGACTCTGTCCAGGGCATCTACGCACAAGGCGTAGGCCACAGCGTGCCGTCCAATCTGACAGCTAGTGAGATATGGTTCGGGTTGTGATGTGTCAGGATACTGAGTAGTATGACTGCTGATATTAGTATGTACCTATGTAGAGTGAGACGGTGCTTTAGTTGTACATACGAATGAAGACTGAAGTCCGTCGATTAAATTTGAAGAGGGCGTTTTTAATACGCTTCCAACATAAGATGCCATTTTGCCTATATCGAAGTCCCCCTTTTCATTTAGCTCCTATATGATGAACTGCAACATCTTTTCCAACCTGCGTTTATAGCTTTCCTATATTCTCTCTCTATTGTTAAATCCTGTGTCCTATAGAAATAGGGTTAAAGCCAATGCTTTCATTCCGGCAGCATGATGGGAATCGAGACCAACTATTATGGGTTGGATAAGATTTCTGCAACCGAACTAGAGAGTTCGGGATACGGATCTAAATATTTGGGTATATTAGTGTTTGAATGACCTGACATTGGAGTAGACGTTTTAATCATCCACTCGCCCTGGGAAATATCGATTTCGGAGCCCTGGTTATCGAATAGTCTGAGATCGGTCAGTAACCTAGGATCTCGGTCTTGCTCATATCGATCCATCTCGGCGGGAGTCCAATTTCGATTGTTGATGATTAACTGTGCGATTTCGACTTTATCCTCTGTCCTGAGAACCATCTGAGGTACACGCAGTAGATGCGCCCATTCCTCACCAACGGATTTGCAGATATGCCCAATTTCTCTGTTTGCAATACCATCCACCCACCACACGCCTCGAGTTATTTTAGAGAAAGCTAGATAATAAGCCAAGAGGACCAATGCCCGAGGTCGATGCTCCTTAGCAAGCGGAATAAACGCCTTTGGGACAAATGCTGTTAAGGTCCAAAGTTAGTACATAATGTTTTAATAACTGGTGGGGTTGTGAGTTTGAAGCTGTGCTTGAACTATTATGAGGCGGGGATTGCTACGAAATAATAGAGCTGACTCCTTAAACAATGTTGGACTCGGATACGTACTGAGGAAGGTGACGATGCGAAGATCGAGGATAGGACTGAAGCCATGCTCCTTGACCTCTTGATAAAGCGAGCCAAGACATTTAAGCATATCATAATATGTTTGCTGATGCTCATCGTCGGTATCACCGGGCTTAATAGAGGCTACCATGAATAGTAAGTTGTTCGGTATGTACGCGGCCGCCTTCTCCAGGTCTACTGGTGGTCGGTAGAATAACATCGCCATCCCTGACTCTTGGAGGACTCGTGGCGTGACGATCTCAAAGATGAGGCTGATTCCTCGCCAGACATGCATCCAATCAACCACGTACAGCGGCTTTGCATCCGGATCCCGGAACGGCTGACTACTCACAGCCACCATTAGAAGCGAGCACGCTATTAGAGCAGGAAAATCTGATGGATTTGCTGCCTCGATAGCATTCCGGTAGCCCTGGAAGGCTCTGTAGCAATAAGCTGCTGTGCGTTGAGCCGGAACAGGTTGCTTCATTGACTGGAGATGTAGTGACGAAACTGCCATCAAACAGTCCATGAGAAAAGGAGACTCGAAAGCATGTTGGACAACTTTCACCTGCAGCACATGATCGACTGCTGGAGAACGACCGGTTTGGATTGAGAAGAACTGATACCCTCGGCTAGTATAGAACCACAGCATTTTCATATCTAGAGCGTCAGTCATCTCGCGTGGCCGAAATAGAGGCTCGGAAATAACTATAGTGCTGGGATCGGGATTAAAGGATGGCCGAGGGGAAGATATAGGAGAAGAAGAGTTAGAGATGGGAGTGGTTCTGGAGACTAGGGTTGTAGACAGAGCTGCAGAGGCCGAGGCCGAGGTGGCTGGATATATGCATTTCTCCTTTCGAAGCCTGCATGCTTTACATGTTGGCCTCGTCTCGTCGCACTTAGATCACGTATTAGTGTTTTAAGACTTCTAGGTATTTATATGCGGTACTCTTTTTTACCTTTACTTTACGCTTTTTGCATTGCCGACACCCGGCTCTTGATTTCTTGTGAGGCCGTTTTGAATGGTAAGGCCTATCAGAGTCTGGACTATCCCCGGATGGCTTACTATTAGATGATTCGGTCTCAGGCGGAGAGGCGAGATGCGCAAGGCTGCTATCGTCAACGGCGAAACTTATATCTAGCTCGGCGTTTAGGCAGACATCAATATCTGGAGATTCAACGTCTGCTCCGTCCATCTTCGTCTAATCAATCGGGCTGCGCTAAATCAGCTTGGCATCATTGTTGGATACCTATAGTATAGTAGGTAGGTAGGTATCCAGTAAACGCCTCTTTTTCTATTATAAGTGTAACCGGATTCGTATTGTGGAAACGCCTTATTCTTTAAGCTTGCAGGAAATATGTAGGGGGGATGTACTCGGGAAAAAAGCAATGAAATAGAGTCTCATGAAAATATGTACGGAGGACTTACAAAGGTTTAGTTAACGGAGAAAACTCGCGTAATTAAATGATTCTTAAATGCAACTCATTCCCCTAACTATCACTTTCCTTACTTTAGTTCCTCTAGTTTCCCGATGTTACCTAGTTCAGCGTGGCAGTGGCTGCTGCTTATTGCTTACCTTGCCTTATGTACAATACTGACGTAGGAGGTATCTACATACATACATGTACGTATGCTCAGGTCTGACGGAGCCCCACTAACATAACATGGGAGGTACTTCGTAGCCTTGAGGCATTGCTGTTCCCCGACGATACATACTTTACTTATTCGCGCCACCATAAATTGCTTGATGTACAATATATATTAGCATAACGGGCATGCGATGAAGTGGGGGATCAGCCGCACTCCTATGCATAGTGTACCTCTTATTTAATTTATTTCCGTTATGATTCTTCAAATGCTACGGATAAGCTCCGAGGTCCTTACGAATATTTACTATATTCGACATTTCACATTGAGTACACAAGCTAGGTAGACTTTCATGAGGAAACAGGGCTGACAGAAAATGACGAATCATCAAGTTTAAGCCAAACAGAACACACTACCTATCCTTGATAGCGCTACATGCACGGCATCTTTTAGTCTTTAAGCTTTAATTATGATAGTAGGGAAGATGCAGCGCGCATGTCATCTTGTACGCATCTGTATATATGTTTGTCAGTATCTGGTATGGCTTACGTTAGATACGTATCGTATGTCACAATATATTCTTATTAAAAGGAAGGGATCTAAAGTCGTGTCGGAAATGATTAAAGGGATAGATAGGTAGGACTTGACGTTATGTAATCCCGTTATATCAGGCCATTAAGATGCATGTGCTGACTTAATACCTATTTCTATCCCGACTTCCCCTACAATATGCACTGCAGCCTTGGCACGCTAAACTCGAATTTCTTTTACCTCAAAGGACCTAGTAGCTGCATATACTTCATCTTTACATATACCGTTTAATGTACGGATATAATTCGAGATACTAGACCGCGCCTCTCGAGATAATTCAAAGCTCTATACGAAAGCATTGTCTCACACCAACGCGAGAGAAACCAACTTTCGTATCCACAAAATCTAACCTGAACAATGGCCAACATCTTCGAGCTCCCAGACGACCTCCTCGCCGCCCTCATCGAGAGCTTCCCCTGCCGCGACGCCCAAATCAGAGCTCTAGCAACGCTACTCTACCCCCGAGCCGCGCCATGCCGCAACCTAATCATCCACGGCACAGAAGCAACAGGCAAGAGCGCCGTCACAGCGCGTCTGCTCGAAGCCTTATCTTCGGCTTCTTCTTCTTCTTCCAGCGGAAACGACGCTCCTCCGCTGTTCAACCACGCCGTCGTGAAGTCCGTTGAATGCGTCACGGCTCGGCATCTATACGAGCGAGCTGTCGCGCTGGTGGGCGATGCTCTGCGATGGGAGGGAAGGACGGCGACGACGACGATTGGACGCTGCGAGACGGTTGCTGCGTTGACGGTCGAGCTTACCAAGATGCTGAAGTACGACCAGCCCCAAGAGAGAGACTCGAGGTTCGTGCTGGTATTCGATGGTATCGATCGCCAGAGGGAGGCGCCGCCAACCCTGTTGCCCGCTCTAGCCAGGCTCTCCGAGATCGTACGTCACCTCCTATATCCACGTATACACACACGTCTTTCCAAACTCCAAGCTAACACCTTCACCAGATCCCCAACCTAACAACAATATTCATCCTCACCGCCCCCTCCCCCTCCCTCCTCCGCGTCTCCTCCGTCCCGCAGCTGTACTTCCCCCCGTACACGAAATCCGAATACATAACCATCCTCTCGCGCCCACCGTACCTCCCCCCCCCGCTCCCGAACACCACACCCCAAGAAACAACCGACCTCTGGGCGCGCTTCGCAGCCGCCGTCCACGACGCGCTAGCCAAACCCGCGTCGCGCTCCCTCCCCGGCCTCGCGCGTTCCTGCGCCGCCCTATGGCCTCGATTCACCGCCCCAGTCGCCGCGGGCACCCACCGCGCTCGGGAATTCACGAAGCTGCTCGTCGCCGCGCGAGCTTACTTCCAAGACGAAGCGGTCCTCGAGCCCGGCATCACCCTTGCCAAAGGGCCTATTTCTATTTCCACCGCTACGAAGACCGGAGAGAAGGAAGCACGCAGCAGCAGCAAGGACCTAGCCGCGCTTCTTCCGCCCACAGCTCGCCTCCTTCTAATCGCCGCCTACCTCGCCTCGCACAACGCGCCCCGCCACGACCAGACCATCTTCAGCACCTGGCACTCTGGACGGCGGCGTCGGGGCGGGGGTGGTATCGCGCACCACATTACGAAGAAAGCCAAGCATAGGAAGATCGCGCGCAAGCTATTAGGTCCCAGCGCCTTCGTGCTAGAGCGCATGGTTGCTATCTACGCTGCGACACGGCAGGAGTGGCTCAACGATGAGAATGATGGACCAGAAAACCAGCCTACTGTTGACGGGGACGTCGGCATGGCGATTGCGACACTGGCTAGCTTGCGCCTGCTTATTCGTGTCGGAGGAGCGGGCGGCGCGGGGGATACGATGGATCGTGGTGGAAAGTGGAGAGTAGGTGTTGGGTGGGAAGTAGTACGAGGCGTTGGGCGGAGCATGGGGGTTGAGGTTGAGGAATGGCTTGTCGAGTAAAGAGGAACGAAGAACGAGAGAGATATAATGCTTTAACAAGTTGGAATACTACACACGTTATGATACCCTTTTGTTATATACATCGTTGTAGTTCTTCCAAAACAATAGTAATTTTGATCTATATGGCTGTGATCTACCAATCATGAATATAAAATGTCCTCGACATATTGCCTCAATACCTTCGTAACCAGCCTACACTTCCGCTAAATTGCTGTTTCGCCTCGCTTTTTCACAATCAAACATACCGAATCCTAGCTGTTAGATTCGGTTCAATCAAGAGTTTTCCAGGGCCAGGACCTATTGTATCAATTAGCTTCCATCGTGTACTCGTTCAGGTAATTTTCATCCGGCCGGGGGGGCTTACTAGGGCAGTACGGCAGGGAATGTATATATGAGTCCAGTTTGCGCGGCCATTCCACTCCATCGGGGTGGTGAAGAACCGGGCATTGTGATCGTTGCGTTCGAAACCGCCGACTTCCTTTGTATCCGAGTCGAGCACAATCTTGTATGTACCTGGAACATCTACGCCGATTCTATAGTCGGCAAAGCTCTGGGTGGGGTGGAAGTTAAAGATAAAAACGCAACCAGCGCGTTCAAATACGATGACCTTGTCGCTCTCGTTCTTAAGGCTGATGTACGCTTGCGGTGCGTGTAGCCAGCCATAGTGATCTTCAGTCAAGTTCATCTGACGATCGAACTCGTTGAGGTCCTGATAGCGGAGGAGATTGTCTTCGGTCAGATTAAGCTGGCGCCTCGCATACCAGAACGAGTTCTGATTGCCCTCACGTGGGAAGTCAAGCCATTCTGGGTGACCGAATTCGTTACCCTCGAAATTAAGATAACCCTCGCCACCCAACGAGTGTGTCAACAGTCTGATCATCTTGTGCAGCGCCATACCTCGGGAAATGACGGGGGTTAGAGGTGAAAGCTTTGACATGTTAGTGTACAGTTCCGCGTCGCACAGGTGCATGAGCAAGGTCTTGTCGCCCACGAGACTAGAATCGATAGGGGTCAGTTGGTCATTCCTTGTTAAGGGATATTACTAGTAATACGTACGCTTGATCATGGCTCTCACAATACGCGATGGTCTTCTCGCCGTGTCGCCTGTTAGTGAGAGTCCAGCAGATGCCGGATATGTCCCAGTCTTCGTCTTTCTTCTCTTTCAGAATTTTAATCCACATGTCTGGAATAGCCATCGCTAATCGGTAGTCGAACCCAACACCGCCAAGTGACAACGGTAAGCAGAGAGCTGGCATACCAGAGACGTCTTCCGCAACAGTAATAGTCTCGGGGTAAAGGTCGTGAAGCATTTCATTGGCGATCATTAGATAGACGACAGCTTCTTCGTCGACATCCGGGCCAAAATATTCATGATACCCGCCAGAGAATCCCCTATAAATCAACTATTAGCATTAAGTCGTCCGTATAGTCATACCAAGTGCAATCTTACGTTCCAATGCCGTGATGATGATATAACATGCTGGTGACACCATCAAAACGGAACCCGTCGAACTGGTATTCGTCCATCCAAAATCTCAGATTACTGAGCAGAAATCTTAAGACCTCATGGCTACCATAATTGAAAAGTCTCGAATCCCACAGCTCATGCCTACCCCTTCCACCCTCGTGGAAGTATAGGTGATCCGAGCCATCAAATTCGTTTAGACCATCAAGCACATTCTTCGAAGCGTGGCTGTGCACGACGTCGAGGAGGACAACCAAACCTAGGCCGTGAGCAGTATCGACCAGTTCTTTGAGATCCTCGGGCGTGCCATACCGACTGCTCGCAGCGAAGAAGTTATTCACCTGATAGCCGAAGCTAGCGTAATAGGCATGTTCCATGATGGCCATGAGTTGGATAACGTTGTACCCTAGGCTTTTTATTCTCGGTAACATACTCTTGGTGAATTCCTTGTATGTTGTGACTCGCTGCTCGGGCGAGGAGATACCCACATGCGCTTCATAGATGCGAGCGCTTGCTGGCTTCTTCGGCCTCGTATTCTTAAATACGTACTTCTCAGACTCGGGAGGGTTCCAGAAGCGGGCATCGTAGGCAGGTGAGACGGAGAGATCCTGGGTAACATATTTAATCCAAGCTGGCAGTCGATCAATTCGCTCGTGGGACGGCGTCGTCATGGAAATCTATCGTCCAGCTTTAGTATATGTAGAGCCTAGCTGACTGAATAAAGCTGTATACCTTTATCTTAGAGTTGTGAGGGATAGCTGGTTGTCCGTTCACAGCTGGTACAGTGATTTCCCATACACCAAAAGCATTCTTCTTCATAGGGTGAGAGCCTCTGTTCCATCCATCTAACGGTATCAAGTCAGTGCGACAGTTTAGAATGTAGGCTAGGAGGACTGGCGCTCACTGAAGTCTCCAATCAAGAAAGCTTCAATAGCGTTCGGTGCCCATTCTCGATATATAATATTGTTATCCTTATCAACATTGAAGCCGAAGATCTCGGTACCCTAAGTTTGAGAGAAGTGTATGTATTAGTCTGAATCTTGAAAGTGGGTTGATGCCCAATGTGATAATAGTAAAAACCAACCTTGGAAAACTTCTTAAGCCCGCCCTCGGTTTCGTCAATCTTTTTGATCCAATCTTGAGCTTTGGAGTATCTTCGCTTTAGAGCGTCCTGAAAAGGTGATAACCAAGGATCTAACTGAATGACACCTATGAACTATACTGTTAACTGACAACCCTATAAAAGTGACATAATACTAGGATTAAAAAGAAGTCGCACCAGTGCCGTCGTTGGGTATCCCTGGGGCAGCTCCAGAGCCGAGGCTATTTGCAGAATTGTCGGATACGGCAGTCATCTTGTTAACCGTTACTCTTGATCTTGATTTTGAGAAACGGAAAGGAAGAAGACGTTTGAAGTTGAAGAGTTGTAAAGCGCAAGAAGGCATGGAATTGAATTAGTAGGGCCTGTTAGTTAAGGTTAGCTTGAGACAAGCTCCCCCGCCAAACAAGCTTAGGTATGTACTATGATGAAAGGGAGCTAAGCTAAGAACAAGTTTAACCTAGGAAGTCGTGCCTGTTTCTTTCTGATTGTTGCTTTAACTATTTCTCTCCAGTACCTAAAGAACCTAGAGGAAGAAAACATACATATTTAAGGAGTCAACCGCGCTACTTAAATTCCCAACACACCGAGGTCGTATCCTCTCATTAGGTAGGTTAGGTATTCAATTGCTATCGCAAAATTGATTCCCTAGATGAGGAGAAGAAAAAAAAAAAAAAACCAAAAAAACCTCCAGCCCAATAATCATGTCGAATGACGTCGAGGGGGCAATTGTTGCACCAGTAGATAACTTGTGTGTACAATGGTTGTGGATCTATGTCTGCTATATGGATCCATCAATCCATGTCTAGAACTTCTAGCTCTCCGCTTTTCCTCTGCCCAGTTTAAGACGATTGGTATTTTTCAGTAATGAAGTAGTATGTTGGGCTGAAAAAATGGATTTCGTAGATGAAGCGTAAATGCCATGTCATCAAATCTGTCAAATAAAGTCTAGGGAGTTTATAGTTGTTCGAACGACTTTAAAAAATATAGAACTTGATACGTCAATAGGTACACTACTGTAGGTACCTAATGTTATTTCTTTCAAGTTGGAAGCTCTTGCGGGCTGGCGGGGCATTACTCGCATAGAGGTACCCAAAATCTCCAAGCTTTTAGTAGCAACCCCGCTAACCCGCTAACCCGCCAATTTTAGCTTAGGCCTAAGCCCCGCATTACATAATTGCGTTCCCTTCAAGTCCGTATGTTGGATCAATCATCGCTGATGGATCTCACTTCAATAACGCGTCCGATACAGGAGCAACGCCATCTAGGCGTGATATCGAATTTAGTCTTTATCGGTTTCGAAGGCGAATAGCACCTTAGGTACGATACATAATACGTATCATAGTCGCATTCTACTTTAATAATTTTCTTGGCTCGAAATATACAATACATACCGTGCCTATCCTTTCAAGACACATGTACGCCCTCATGCGGACTATAACGTTAAAACCCTAGAAATAACTACTATCCATTGGAGGACCACCTCTACCAGCGCCAATATGAGGTCGGTCCTCGCAAGGCGTCGCATATTGCCACTTTCCGTCTTTCCAAGAACCCATTATCGAGCCCTGTCGACCACCACCGCCTTTCGTATTGCGAGACGCAGCTCGGAGTTTAACTCGGGCTTTACGAGTAGCTATGATCCAAACGAAGAAGGGCGCGGTCCTATGTTCTCTAAGAACACATTTGGAGTGCCTCAATTCTACCCCCGGGACCTCAAGAAACGAGTCGACGAATATGTAGTCGGACAAGACCGAGCGAAGAAGACGATATCTTCCGTCATCTTCAACCATTACCAGAACGTACGGCGGCGACAACATCAAGAGGAGCAGGAGAGAAAGAGAGATGAGAAGCTTATGCGGCAGGCTATTGCCCGCGATCGTAATGCGAGAGAGAGGGAGCTTCACCCTGTCGAAGGTTGGCCTAATCTAGAATCAATGACTCGACGGTATCGCGCTGACGATATATCCGAAGATGAGTATCCGGGCCACAATGATTCTATACAGAATATGCCTCAGGCATGGCAACATGCTGAGCAGAAGGATGATTTCTATATACCCGAAGATGCTAGTCGAACACCAGGTGTAAAGATTGATAAAAGTAATTTGCTACTATTAGGCCCAACTGGTGTTGGGAAAACCTACATACTTGAGTAAGTGTCCACTTGTTGCTAGTATGCATGTACCGTACGTCTTAGTTAACCCTTAGAAGAACATTGAGCAAGACGATTAACGTCCCCTTTACGATATGCGACTGCAACTCCTTCACCCAAGCCGGTTACATAGGCCAGGATGTCGAGACGTGTATCGAGAGATTATTAATAGAGTCCAACTACGACGTGCGAGCTACAGAGCAAGGGATAGTAGTCCTCGACGAATTTGACAAGATTGCCAAACGCGAGACAATAAATGGGAGAGATGTAGGCGGCGAGGGTGTTCAACAAGCGTTGCTAAAGTTGGTCGAGGGGACCAAGGTTACTATTAATGTCAAAGACAATCGCTCGTCATCTTCATCGCGTTCGGCAAGCCCGATCACTACCAATTATACCGGTCCCGGATCCTCGAATTCTACTTCAGGTCCTCAACCGACGCTACCTGCTGCTGGAAAGGTAGATCAATATACAATCGACACGAGCAACATATTGTTCGTCATGTGCGGGGCTTTCGTCGGTCTCGACAAAGTGATACTGAACCGAGTATCCAAGTCCAGCATGGGCTTCGGTTCCGAGCTCCGTAGTCGGCATACCTCCGGAAGCAAAGCGGACCTGCCGCCGGCATTATTCAATCACCTTCCCCACCGCCCTCCGAACGGTGATGATACCGCGAATCTAACGGCCTTGGACCTCGCGACGTCCGAGGACCTACAAGGTTTCGGATTCATTCCCGAACTGATCGGACGTGTGCACAACATCGTCGCACTATCCCCGCTGTCGCGATCAGATCTTCTCAGAATTCTAACGGAACCGCGCAACTCACTAGTCGCACAGTACACAGCACTGTTCGAAACGTACCCTTCGAACCTTTTCTTTACCCAGAAAGCATTGCAGGCCATCGCGGAACGCGCGGAAAAAGCGCAGACGGGCGCGCGAGGTCTCAAGATGGAGATGGAGCGCGTGTTGGCCGAGGCTATGTTCGACGCGCCCACGCACTACGTCCTGGTCACCGAGAAAGCCGTACGCGGCGAAGAGAAAGTCGGCTACTGGGGTAAAGACGGCAGGCTCGAAGTCGAGAGGCTGATACGCGAGGAAGATGGCCTGGCCGGTGTCCCGGGGCAAGAAGCTCGCGGCAGGGAGATCGTGAGCAGTCTCGGCGACTATCGCGAAGCCGGCCAGAGCGGCGCTTGAAGGACGCGATAGTTAATCGAAATTGTTAAGTATTTGCCTCATTGCGAAGGGGTTTGTTTGGGATAGGTACTTGGCGTGGTGTTGATAAGGGAATGGGGGTTTTCATGACTTCGGGCGTAGGTATTCAGCATAGTCGTCTTACATTGGGCGGGACGGTGTTAGGGTGTGCGATGGAAATAGGTATATTATATAAGGTAACTCAAGAGGTCGCCGAAGCAGCTTTACGTATACCTCGATTACGAATTTATATGGATAATGAATGCATGGATACCTTGTATTCGATCTGAGTAACGACTGTGTCCTGTGGTACGTGTGCGTATGTACCTAATGTATATGTCTGATCGTCTAAACTTATACTCTGTGGCGGTATGGATATCTAATCAAATGGTTATGCAAACGCGTATTTATGGCTGGCTTACGGATTACTTCAAACGGGCGGGCGCCTCATTATCACGGGTTTGTATTGCGTTCATTGATACTCGTGCTAATCCTTCTGCTGAAGAGCTCACTTAAATTATTAATTTCAATAGTGAATTACATATGTTAACGAACATGAAAGCGTGGGATAGCACCGTTTGGTAGTAGAGCACAAGCAGTATAGCACTTAACGAGATAGTTAGAGGATTTATAGAACGGCATAGAAGGTTTGTTTTCCTCTTGTACATATTTACAACGTTGGACGTGGTCTAGTCGACCAACCTGCTTCTCCTAGGCACGGGAACCGGATCCCAGCTGGAAATAAAATCGGTGTCTCTGATGTTACTGCTCGAGCTTGCGATTGTCAAACTGCTTTTGCTTCGGATAGCCAATGCGCCCCCCGCCGCCTACTACTCCGTCCCACTCTAGTTACTTGTAATTTTGTATATGGAAGTTAATGCCTTGCACCGCGGTTCTATACGGACAAACGGAAAGATTTTTGGAGACCAGAGTAGGTAGGTTTGGTAGGTATTAAATAGGTAGGCTAGGTCTAATCACGGGTAGTGGTTGGCGGCGACTGAACCATGCCTGGGCCGCTGTAGCCTTCGGACGAGATACCGGTAAGAGGCTCGGCACGTTGTTTCTGTTATATGTTAGCTTATGGAACCCTTTGCGAATAAATATTGAGATCCGTCTCACCTTGAGGTACTCGTTGGAAGCCTCCTGCCATTCCTTGGTCATGGTGCTAGGAGCTTCACCGCCGAAGGCGCGTATTGTGGCGAAAATAACGAAGCTAGCGAACAGGCCGAGTGCGGTGTATAGAGCGACCTTGCGTCCCTCATCGGCGGGGGGTGCAGCGCGAGGACCGTGGGCACCGAAGGCGATCCAGTAGGCTGTTGAGGGGTGTCAGTCCGTGATGTCTTCAAATACGTGAATCGTGAATGGTTAAATCAAGCCGTGCGGCTCCACTCTTCATTCCGGAACGTTGTATATGGAAATGCACCCCAATCCCCAATCCTAATAGCCCAACAGTGAAGCAACATGTTTTGAAGCCCAACTCGGGACTCAATGGTGTTGTATCGAAGAATCGCAAATGTTATGTTACATACCAGCCTTCTTCTCTTGAATGGTGAGGTCTGCCCAGTTCTCCTTCATGCGGTCTCGCAGGGCCATCCACAGCTCGGCTTGCTCAGTCTGAGGCAAACCTTCCCATCGCTTCTCGATGTTGGCTAGAGTCGGGTTCGAGATGGCGTGCGTGGAGGCGGCAGCGCGGGGGACCATAGTCGTCGTTCTGCTGGCCCGGAGGGCGCCGCGCAGGAGGGAGGTTGTGGGTGTGCGCATCATTGTGATTTACGTCTTGAAGGAGAAGAAAAAAATTGAAGACAAAAAAATTAAACGATGCCGTTTGAGTCGGTCGGGAGAGCGGAGATGTGGGCCAATTGAGGCGGTCGCGAGGGCCTGCTGGACGATGAGTGGGATCGCGGGAAGGTTCTGAACGACGGATGTTGTTGGAGCTTTCGTTTTTTGGGGCTGGATTCAATTGAGAGTCTTTTTTTCGATCGAGGTTCAGTGGTCGTATGATGTGGTGGAGCCAATGGAGGAGCTGTTTTTGATGCCTCAGCAGCCTTAGGCAAGCTTTTACACTTGCAAATTCCAAGCTCTAAGCCCAAAAGCTGCTAGGGTCCTTACGGCTAAAGTTCGGACCAAGGTAAACATGTATGGATGATAAGGTACGACGTCACACAAGGATCCGGGGAACAGACACTGTACTTCTCTATCCACACTGTTATGTATTGTACAGGACATGGGTGAAAGATTTGTGTATGATGTATTATCAAACAGCAACTATTGAATCTATTCATTATATATGGCTCTCGATATATTGTAATTATCTCAGTAAGAAGATACCTGTTTAAGCTATAGACGTGATCTTAAAAAGCTTCTATATCCATTCTTATGGATGTTGTAGGCTGTCAAGGATGAAAATGTGGTATAACTAACATCCGGAGTATTTGTCAATTGCTATTATTTAACCATCTATACCTCACAAGAGGTTATAGAAATTATTCGATATACTAGGTATCCAATGATTAAACATAGCTAGCGGTTGTATAAAGTGTCTGTCTTGGGCGTTTTCTGTTGTGTGCTGTCTTTGACTTCGGTCACTTTATCTAACTGCTGGTTATCCTTTGCCAGGCGCTGCAGTGTTTTCTCTTGTTGTTCCTTGAAAGCAGGATCTAGAACATAATAAGCTAAATAAGAGGTTCAGTATCGTCACAGGTGCACTGTAAAGGAGCTATGGCCAATTCATACCGTTCCAAACTCCAAAGGCTACAGCAAGACCAACGGGAAGAGCGGCGCGAGTGAATGAACTCATATTCTTCTTGGAATGAGCATGTATATTCTCGGGGGTATAAAGGTTGGAGGTGTCTTTTGAAGTGATAACGTTTGGTGTAATAATTGACTTAGTGTTGAGGAAATATTGTCAGATGTCAAAGAAAATCGATTGTGTTGATTATGGCATATCTTCAATGGTTACACAGTATCCCGAAATACCGGAATACCGGGACCTTATCAGGATATGCAGTAAAGAATCAAGTGGTGGCAGGGTGGGTAACCAAACTTTAGGTTGAAAGTTACAGGTCACTTTTAGATAAGTACCTAGGTACTTAGGTACATACCTTAGCCTGCCCCACCAGTCGCCAAATGCATGTACCTTTTACGCGTGTAAGTGTACCTTATTTGACGCGTTGAGAGTCTTCATTATTGGCAATGTCTGCCTAATTTATATATCCACGTAACATGATTGACTTTCCCTTCGTTTCAATGTAGGGAAATGCATCTCGGACTCAATGGCGAAATGGAAGGAGCTTGGAGAGGTGCCAGATTCGGACGACGAAAGTGGTTTCGATAGTAGTCAAGAATCTGAACATGAATCTGAACATGACCTCCCACTGCAGCAAAGTGGCGTTGGCGTTGGCGTTGGTATCTTAGATGAACCTGTCGCGGAGGGTCCAGCACTTGAAGATCAGAATGTTTGGGATATACCCTCATCATCTCAAGTCTCTAAAAAGGAACATAACGTAAATCGCAGTCCACCTCGACCGCAATTACCACAAGCGCCCTCCGATCTAGCAACGATTCATTATCCCGATTCATCCCCTCTTTCGTCGCTGCCACCCCTTGAGCCTAGGGGTGACCCAGAGGATTCAAACCAAACCGTCGAGACTAGCAGAGCCGAGTTAAATGAGACTCAAGTATCCGAAGTAGTTCCTCCCAGTTCGCCTAAGCAATTCGTCAATGCAATCTTCGAGGTAGATGTTCCGGACGAGGGCGAAGAGGATTTGATACAAGAAGCAATTCGGCCCGGGCGATCGCTGAGACCGCGGAAACCGATCCAAGAGCACCCTTACTTGCTAGAGAGTGCACAATATAGCAAGACCCTCAAATCACATGGCGTGCGACCCTTGCGTGTGCAAATCGAGGAGGCGGCAAGAAGAAGAAGGGAAGAGGAGGATTCTCAAGAACAAGATTATGAGGACGAAAGCCAATCTACTGCCAGAGAGCTGGCCCAGGAGGATTCGGGGGATAGTCAAATAGTCCAATCCCAACATCCCGATCTACCTGATCCGCCCGATGCACCTGGGGATACCGATATGGAAGAGCTATCAACAGTCAGAAGCCCATCTCCTCTCTCTGGACGCAGAGGTGCTGAGCCCAATGTTTTATTTGGGAGTTCGCAGGATGATGACGAACTTCCAGATCCAGCTGACACGGCCAAATGGAAGTTAGGAAAGAGATCAACCATGGCCGCTAAGAGACAGGCTTCACCTAAAGCCTCTGGGAAACGAAAGCTGCCGAGGTTGCACCAGCCTGTCAGGTTTGCGAGGGCCGTTTCGCCACGAGCGCAAGCTGATAGTGTATTTAATGTTCCACCATCACCGCCGCAAACGAGTCCAAATTTCACGACCCGCACGCCAGCCATTAACACAGAACGCTTTCAACCTGTCACAACGCTTACACCAAATCGAAGCAGTACGATATCGTCTAGGAGCCAAAGTCCTGCACCGATAGATGGGAGCAATGGTTTGATTGACCTCACCATGGTAGAAGACGACGACGAGGTTGGTAGCGGGGAAGACGCGGAGTCTAATGGCGATTCCGAGAGCGATACTGAAATGGTACGAGTCGCAATGAGGAGAAAGATGCGTGGCGTATTGCCTGCTTCTTGGCTCCGACTTGATCAGCCAGGCACGCGCCGGAAACCCCCCCAGGATATTCCGCAACGGAGCCCCGGTCGCTCACCGGAACGGACTCAGAGAAAAGGTGTAGCTCAACGTCGGCAGATCTCGCCTCGGCCTGGCGCTGATGCGGCATTGTTCCTTGATTCGGACGATGATGATATGACTTTACAAGCTGATGATCTTCACGAGTTTGGCAGCGACAATAATAATAACATCCCTATCTTTGAAGATGACGCTGGCTCTGTTATCGAAGATGACTCGATCGACTATATGCTCTCTGGGAATAAGAGGACCCGCATGGATACCGATGGATTGGAACGACCCAAAAAACGGAGAAAAAATCAGCAACCAACATTTAAAGGGCATCTAGGCCAGCAAAAGCGGCAACAGAGGATCACCGGGCTGCTGAGTAGGACAAAGAGTACGACTCGACCGAATGCTAAGAGACGTGATACGGAGAATAATCCAGGTGGAAGACGCCACACGAAAGGGCTTAGTAGAGCAGTAACTAGATCTACGCCGCCGCCCCAGCTCAGTATTCTGGATGTTGTCGAACCGAATGCGCCCCCTTTTATTCGCATAGCTGCTCGAACAGCGAATAGAAGATCCGACAAAGGTAAATCAAGCCCATCGAAGAAACACATTGCAATGGGAACACGCGAGGATAATATTGATGCTACCAGCATCCTGCGAGACTGGAAAAGGGGTCGTATCAAGCCAAAGATTACCACCAGCGCTTCGACTAGGTCTCAAATTGAGTTACCGAAGCCCCTTCGTTCTCTCTCTCATAATTCTGTTACCCAACCCCCAAAGGTGATATCCAAACCGCGTACTCGTGTTATACCCTCAGGCCGCTTTTCGCAGCCTCGGCGAATGGTCAAACAGGCGAGCATTGACAACTTTATGACCATCGAAACGGAAACATCATCGGAAACATCATCCATGCATACTCGATTGGACCATGAAAACTCTTTGCCGAAGCGTTCTCAACTTGGCCGAATCAAGTCCCTCAACGCAGCTTCACGGCCTGCACAACTTGAAGCAGTGGGCGAACAGATCGGGCGGCACGCTTTCCATGCACGGAAGAGAGCTCTCGACGCACTATATAGAAAGTCACGTAGGGAACTACCCACGCCAGCGCGTATTGGGCTCGAACGGCTTATAGGTCAAAATTTATCTTCTGAAAGCTCCAATAAGCATACTGGAGATTCGTTGTCTGGTGGCAGTCCCGGAAGACTTCAACCTGTAGCAGGACGAAAGCGTTTAAAGTTCCGGAAACATTTCCAGCCTCAACATGTGGATACTACTGCACCTCAATATGCACATGCTAATGATCCTCTGCCTCGTGAAGTGAGTCCGATAAGTCCTATTGTCGAAGTGGTACAGGCCTCGGAATCCACTGGCAAATTATTAGGACTTGGTCCATTCGGCACGCATTATACCCAGCATTTCGAGATATTCCCGCTTGAGCTTGGTGTTTTCTTCCATGAGAGTACAGTCCTCGGGAGCGGTCGGCTGGTCAAGGCACTGGACGAAAAGTCTCGTGATAGCTTTTATCGCCCGAGGGGCCGTGCTATATTCGTTCTCGGTGAGAAGACACTACAGTGGGGTCAGTGGGATGCCCAAACTTCATCAGAATTAGGCATTGTCTTGGACTGGATAGTAGAATATCTCTATTCGGAGTCTCCTGACCTTAGTTGGGGTACAACTCCGGTACAAGCTGCAGACTTTGTACTGGAATATCTTCAGGACCATATAAGCTTCTCAGATGAGGAGAGCGAGAAACATTTCGCGGGTCGGGCTTTGGAAATACTGCAGACCTTTGCACAACGCTTAGAGATTCTGCCGCTCCAGTCTCAAGATCGGGCTCGGCCACTGATAGATGTGATGAGCCGCTGTCTGGTCATCTCATTTCAAATCTTGCGAATATGTCATAGTCTCAGCCAGCTATCAGAGACATTTCAACTTGAAGATGTACTAGGCAAAATGGCCAAAAGGGCAGCTCGTGAATTACTTGCGAGAGAGCTGGCAGATATACGGAACCTGTACTATGATTTACAACGCATGCCCTTCCGTGAAAGAGGTATTCGGAACGAGCAATATTCGGTGATCTGCTGGGTCATACTCATTCGAGTACTTGAAGAGTCTCGTATTCCGAGGTCTGGGTTTTGGGATATCGTCTCTTCTGTCATCTCAAGCACAGATCTGAACTCCGTCAACGATGCGCATACTTTTGAGCGTATCTGGTATGATCTGTTCACTTTACTCCCCCTTGGCGAATTTGACAGTTCTGGGGTCATTATTCCGGGTATCAGGCATACTACCCCGTTAGAGGGTTGGGTCTTGCCGCAAAAATTAGTCAGACGAGTTTTCCAGCTATATGAGAGTAATTCCCGACAAGCACCCAGTTTTAATGATTATTGTCGAGGAGTCGTCAGTCGTTGCCACTATCTTGTGGAACAATGGGGTTGGCGAAAGTCTAATGGTATAATAGGGACAATCTTCGATTTCTTTGCTGCTCGAGGTCTCTCTCATCTGAGGAATGAGGAAGTGTACAAATCACCAGAATTCCTGGAGCATCTGGCAGGATCTCCGTCGCTTGTTATCGTACCGGAAGATCGATGCTTTCATATTTTCCTGAAGCTCCTGGCACTATCTATCAAGCGGCTTGAGAATCACGGCTTGACAAAAGATGCTAGAAATATGTTGGCAAGGGTTCTACCGAATCATAATCGGCAGTATGAGAAGGAGAAAGATATACATGAGAGTGAATTGGCTGCACTGAGGAATCACCATGATCTTCTCTGCACACTTTACTGGGCCGCACCGCCAAGTTTGCGGCCTTCTGTACAGACGATCGAAAAACTGATAATACCTGGTATTTCTCACAAAGAAGCATGCTTGATCGGTTTACGAGCCTGGTGCCAACTATCACGATTCGTGATCTCTTCGGAAGAGGACATTAACGGTTACAAACCGTTTGCTGATTGGCAGAAAAATATTTTTCAACAAGTAATGGAACAGTACCTGTCGGCCGAATCGGATATTCAACAGCAACTCTTAAATATGTCTAAAGATGCTTCGAGAAATATAAGTCGAGATATGGTCAACGCAGTCGTGAAGCTGAACAGGAAGGGCGCAATGGATGTAATACACTTCTCGATGAAGGGATTCTTGAGTGTCATTCGGCTCGCCCCGACGCTTGGTGCCGTTTCTTTTGCGTTGAATCATTGTATGTCAATAATTTGTATACCTGAATAACTTTTACTAACTTTCTCAAGATCAATTGGACCAGGTTTTTACTCGTTTCCCATTCTCGTCAGCAGACTTCGACTGGAGTAGCTTGCG